TTAGTTTATTTTCTTATCTTAATAGCTGATATATTAAAGATTGATTGATAAATTTACCTTTTAGATTATAAAAAATCTTTTATTCCCTTAAAAAAGCCATAAATTAGTATATATAGGATAAAAGAAATAAATAATTATTATGGTTGATACTAAGAATAAGTTGAAGGTAGGATTAGACTAAAAAATTCCTAAGATAGGCTAAATTGATACTCAAGGATCGACCATTTGTGGGACAGGATTAAAATCAAATTTCTAGCTACTAAAATGACTACCTAGGACAAAGTATGGAGGCATTTGGAGATCAACAACTGCAATTAGAGAGCTAGCTTCAAGTTCATTTCAAAAGCATAAGATTTATTTTTATAACATTTGGAATAACCTTGCAATTGTTATTCAAAGTCAAGGTTTGTATTGGTGGCTTTGAATTTATGCAATATAATTAGGACTAAGACTCTTAGCTAGTGCATACAATAAATATCACATCTATAATTAAAAATTTAAAATTCCTTAGTTAATTGGATGTATTAAGTATATGTAAAATTTTATATTAATCTAACAATATTTTTGAATGATACTTGGTTTTTAGTACAAAAGGATATCAAAAGTTTGTGGTTTGAGGTTAGGTAGGATTTTTATAATATCTAAAGATCTTCTCATTAGAACAAGGTGAAATTTGGTATAATCTTAGAGGACTTAAAGATCAAGCTATACACCAATTTTAAATTGAAGTTAATAATTAAAAAAAGAGAAATTACTAGTAGAATATCTGCGTCAACTTTCAAGTTGGCAGTTAAGTAACATTAGTGTGATTTTTTGGACGTCTTTTCACAATTGGTAAGTTAGATTGGATTAAATTTTTTTGAACATGTAGAAGACTTAGAATGATATTTGTATGCAAAATTTTGCATCCACTAAATGGTTGAATTAGGAGTTACAGCTTGTTGAATCTCATTGATTAGAGTTAGGACTTGCAAAGAGAAATCAAAATTGAATAAGCATATGATTAGGTACCTATAAAAAAAAAGATATGAATAAAAGATTATATTTTGAATATAATGTCATATCTTTTAAACTCAAAGATGTACCAATTATTTTTCAACATCTAATAAATGATATTTTTTGAGAGTTTTTAGATGATTTTTTTATCTATTATCTAGACAAAAAAATTAATCTATTCTAAGAATACAAAATGGTACAAACTTCATTTTGTTGTGTATTATAAAATCTTAGAGATGTAAGATTATAAGCTAATGTGAAGAAGTTTTTATTTTATACTATTTAAGTTAATTTTTTAGAATACATTATTTCAAATGATGGCCTTATAATAGATGCTAAGAAAATTTAAACTATTATAAATATAAATATTTAATTTTAAAATAAAATAAAATAAAATAAAATATTATTTATAATTTGTAATTACTATTGGATCTTTATCAAAAATAATTTTCAAATTGCAACCTTATTAACACATTTGACTTCTAAAAAAAAACTTAAGTAGAATAAAAAAGCTCAAGCGTTATTTGAAGCTTTAAAAATAGCTTTTATTTTTGTACTAATCTTATATTGTGTGAAATTTTTCTAAGCATTTTTTAGTAAAAATAGCTGCAATAGACTTTTTTTTAAGTTTAATATTATTACAAATGGAAAAAAATGATAAACTTCATTCAATTGCTTTTGATTTTAAAAAAAATTCAACATCCAAGATTAACTACAAGATGAAAAATAAAAAACTTCTTGCAATTGTGGATTCATTTTAAGAATAGTACTATTATTTAGAAGGCACTTTTAATCTGATCATTATATATATAAATCATAAGAATCACAAGTATTTTATGTTAGTTTGTGTTTTAAATTATTATCAAGCTTATTGGAGCATATATTTATCAAGATTTGACTTTAAAATCACCTATCAATAAAAAAAAACAATAAAGATTATTGAACACCTTTTTTAGACATTCTTATCTTGCATCAAAGGAAGAAAATCTAGCTTTTAATCAACAACAAATAATTCTTTTGAAGCTAAAATAATTTTATCTTTAAGTAATGAAATCAACATTAGCTATTGATTCAACTTCTCTTAAGTAAGTTCAATCAAATATGTTCTATAATGCTCTTATTGATGACATTAAGCATAATCTATTTAAATCTTATGATATTCTTAAGTTTGAATTTAAAAAAATCTACTCTATTTTGATAAATACTTATATATTCTAAAAAATGAAGCATAATATATTGCTATTTAGGCTCATTAGAACTTTCTAATTGTACGATATTTTAGATATAATAAGACCTTAAAATTAATCTTAAGAGATTTTTTGTGGCTTTAAATAATAAAATAAGTTAAAGACTTTATAAAATCATGTGATATTTGTTTAAGATTAAAAATTTCTTAATATCAACTTTATATACTTATTCAACTATTTTTAATATTAAAATAACTATGAAATTTTATATCTATAGATTTTATTATGGATCTTCCATCTTCAAATTCTTATGACTCTATATTTGTAATAGTAGATCTTTTCACTAAGATAGGAAATTTTATATCAGATAAAAATCTATCATATGTGGGAAAAAAAGTAATTTTTTTTAATAATATTTATTTTTATTAAGAAATTTTAAAGGATATTATAATAAATAAAGGAATTTATTTTTTATTTAGATTTTGGAGAACCTTTTTCAAAGTATTGAAGATAGAGATAAAACTATATGTAGCTTTCTATATTCAAATTGATAGATAAACAGAACTATTACATCAAGTATTGGAGCAATATTTGAAATGTATTATCAACTACCATCTAGATGATTGAATAAGTCTTTTGTCATTAGTAGAGCTTGCCTATAATAACATGTTACATTCTTTTATTCAAAATAATACCTTTTTTTGCTAACTATAGTTATCATTCACAACTTAATACTTTTAACTTATCAAAAGTTGATAATTGTAGTGCACAAGATTTGACAAATCATTTAACAAAGCTACATGCAACAATAAATGCATAATTAAACAAAGCTTAAGAATGACAAAAAATCAATATAAATATATATCATAAGGAATAACTTCAATTCCACGTAAGCAAGAAGATATAGTTACATCATTGTAATATTAAGACTAATTTTTCTTCTGACAAGTTAAATTACTATAAACTTGAATCATTTATTGTTTTAAAGAAATCAATCTAGTTGTATATCAATTATACCTATTGGAGTGTATGAAGATCTATTCTATATTATATTTTTTTCTTCTTGTCCCATACAAGTAATGGATATACCAAGAAAAAAGACAAATTCTATTTTTTTTAGTAGAATTGAATTAAAATCAAGAATTTGAAGTTGAAGGAGTTTTAAACTCAAGGTAGTCCTAAAATAAGTTGGAATATCTTGTATATTTGTACCAATACAAGATTAATAAATATACATGAGAGCCATCAAAAAATCTTCAAATATAATAGAGAAGATCAAACCTTTTCATTAATAATACCTATCAAAATCAAAATGAAGAATCAAACAATTATTTACTATAAAAGAAATAAGTTTTTATAAAGTTTACATTCCATGTTTTATCTTGCATTGTTGTTTGTTTTTATTTGTGGAACTAAAAAAAGAAAAAATCAATAACCAATAGATTCAACTTAAGAGCTATCATTTGCTAAGTTATTGATCAAAACATTATAATTATCACAACTTTTAACACAATGTAATAGAAATAAAGATTCTCAAGAATAATATATTCTTCTTCAAACAAAAAGAAGATATAATGCATTTGGTATTATAATATTGTATATATTGGCCACAAGGTGTATATATTAGAAATTTGCTTTACAAGTTAAATATGTGTCTCACAAGTTGGACACATGTCATATAACTTATAAGGCATTGCTACATAACTCCTTAGTTAGATAGTATATGTAGAGGCAAAAATGAGACTTTTGTTTATTTATTTGATTATATAAATTCTTTGATAGAATTTTTTTATTGATAGAATTTTTTAAAACTAACAACCAACCATTAACAATAATACAAAATAAATCAAAAAGAAGCAATTGTAAAGAACAATTTATAGAACTTTTTTGTAAAATTAAAAAGAAATAACATGCAAATTTATATGAAGAGCTGTTATTAGCAAATTTGCCAAATAAATTACTTAGATTGATTCAATTTTTGCAATATCAAAAACTAAATAAAGATCTTTAAAAAAGATATGATTTGTGTCAACTCTCGAAAATATAAGTCATGAAGACTGAATCAGCAGTTTGTATTGAGTATATTTGAGAACCGCCAAATGGGTTGTGTTACCAACTTTTTCTGCAGCTGTAGAAGCTGTAAGGAACAATGAGTTTGTTCAGTACCATCCTGAATAATAATTCTTTGAATTGAACGTAATTTTTCTATTTTCTTCCACACCCAAACTTTTTAACAGCATCAGTTTGGACACCATTTAGACAGTCCAACACATTTTTCAGAGACAACAAACAGTATTCCTGCACTTAAAAATGTGCTCGTACTTGGGTCCACCAGCAAGCCACAACGAGATCATTTGAGACATAACATTATAGCTGATACATGCCAAGTGGGTACTTGTGTCCATCAAAGATGTACAAACTGGCAGGAGACAATACCTCAAAACTTTAAAAAAAGCACTTAGACATCTCTCATATATTACAACACATATAATTATTATTTCTTTTGTGCTGAATTTTAAGAGAAAAAAAGTTTAAATTAAAAACAAAATCTAAGATGACAAGCTGCATCAACACATATACAAACTAAATCATTGTATTTACGAAGTTAATTTGCATAAAAATGTACCAAATGCTCCAAAACAAATGCTTCGTTACACTGATATACCAGTGTAATGCATGAATCAATAAACTTGTCACTTCATCAACATTCTTCTGTACGGTCTATCACATGCATGTTACTCACTTAAATGAAACAGACGCGCTCTGTGCGTGATACTTCTCTGCCGTAGAGCATCCTCCTGTACCTTGCACTATTCATCACCAAGTCTCAATTGAGACACCTTAAAGCAATGAGAATGAAAAGTGTTATAATGTGAGGTAATCCACCCCACAGCTGCTCTTCTAAGAGCCTTGAATTGAAACAAACTGACTATAAGACATCCGAAGGGTATAGAAGAAATTGTGTCGAGAAGAACATAATCAAAGTGGGTCTTTGATAAAACTATCAATATAATTAGGAAACAATTATCAGCGACGGCCATGATCCCGCTTCCGATCGCAGAAATGACACTTCCTAGCATATCAAGAAAAAATGGCTTGTACAATTGTAAGCCATTTACCGGTATTACACGGTAAATAGAATGATATTCCAATCATTGGTCCATACTGATATCTACAGGCATATGAATATGATCTCTGGTTATGTTACAGGATATCCCATGCCCTTGTAGTGACGCTTCACCCAAGGAACTCCCAAGCGTTGGGTTCAACCCTAGCTGTCGGATCCATCGCTTGGAACTCCTTCCACTAAGAGTGTTTCCCGATAAGGAAGAATTAAAGGCTGCATCATAAATGCTCATCGTCAGCTCAAGATTATGAATTGCACATCTTTACTGGTGGTCTACTGACATAATGCAAGTTGTATATTCAATTGCTGTGAATAGACACGATGATGCAAATCTGAAGCTATTAACCATTACGGGCATATTTGGTTGGACTCAAATATGTATTTCAATTTTTATTAAAAAGGTCCACAAAAACCTCAAAGAAATAAACCAACCCAGTTCCTTGACTTCACATTTTTACTTCTCCATAAAGTACTAGCATTGCCATCCATAGTTCAAGGCTAAGTTCCTCAAACTATGCAAGGGACTCGAAACTAGTTAAATTCTCTTAAAAGTCGAGAGTAATCGAAGTCCACAATGATGTGGGTGCAAGAAACAAGCTTACTCTTCTAGCTGTGAATAAGCAGATAATGAAGTCCGTTATGGACCACCAACAGAAAAGAACTGACGAATTCCAATGACACATGCTGCTCAAAGACAATGCATGCCATACAAGGAAATTACCCTCTATCTCCAGGACGTTGAGGAGCCGACACCAATTGCCACCCTTCTGCTGCCTGGTATTACAAGACAACAAAGGCGCTCATACGACGACTGAAGATGATGATATATAGCAATAGGAAGGGAAAGAAAATCCAGCGCTACGTTTGCCAAATCACGATGTTAGTGTAGATATGCACTGTATTGGAAAGGTTAAACTTAAGTAACCACAGACTACACATTCACAAACCAGCAATGGACTCTACAAAATGGTTGAGAGAAGACATACCACTTGATTCAAAATCCGGGTTAGCAACTTGCCCAAGAGATCCATTCCGCTTGGATGAAAGTTTGTCAGATGAGACCCCTACATTTGTGTATCTGCGGAGTCGTGTTTGTAAAGGTGCTGCAACAGACTTGCGATCCATCATGGACGGGTTCTTACGTGCGCTACTTATCGGAGGCCGGGGAAGTTGAGTCTGTAGTAGTGCTCTGCAGCGAAAAAAACATATATTTTCAAGATGCAAAAATTAGCTTCAGATAACATCAACGACAGCCGAAATCAACCAAAAAGTGCATCAAACGCGCAAAAACGTAGCCCAAATAACAAAACGGTCGAGTGGCTACTGTAGGCAGTACTTACTTCCTTTCGTTGCGAGCATGGGTGACATTTGACTGGGGCTTCCGATTCTGATCAAGCTGGGTGGATAGGTCAGCTTCAACAGATAGTCCACCTTCTGAGAACAAGCTTGCACTATCATCGTACCCATCCCGAAGGTCGAATATTCCTTCACTTTCAAAATGTTCTTCCAGACCTACATCATTCAACTCAAACAGGTTAGTCTTACCCATTATCGCAGAACTTCGTGATGTTCTTTGATTGTCACTGGTAATAATATCTCACAGTTACCATTCGAGACAACGATCTCCACCAACTTGAAGCAACATGAAAGACAACATTATGCTTAAGTATACCCATCAAAGAGCGCTGACTGGAGCCTGTTGAACGTATGGCTTCAAAGTCTCCGTTCCCTTCATACAAGGAACCACCATTCGCGTAAGTCCGTTGTTTTTCCAATTCTTGTGTAAAATTTCCACTCTCTTCTGCACCATGTAAAGACCGTTCTTGAGGCTCTTTCATGTCAAGTGCATTTAATTCAGCATCGTTCGAAATAACGGGTTCTTGCTGCTTGCTCACATCCTTGATTTTCAACTGCCCATTTTCAGTCTCCATAGTATTTTGCGGCTGAGAGGTCCAATTCGCAACACCACTGACAGACCCATTCTGATGACTCTTCAAGAATCTAAGTTTCTCATTTACATTGTTCACTCCTTCATCCATGACATCAAACACACCCATTTGCTCCGTAGGAGAATTCGTTGGAGAGCATGCTGAAGAGGACACCAATTGCTCCGCAAAATCTTCTGATTCATGGTTTATGCTTAAACCAGCCCGAATAGGAGATTTCGGTTGACTGGGTAGCTTGCGCGTATTGAGCCGGGTCTAGAAAGACATAAATCGAAGGAATATTTCAACACGGGTAAAGGTAAAAAATTAAAAATAAATCAATAAATTAAATAGTGAACATTCATCTCCCTAAGATTATTTTTGATCTCATCAAAAAGAAAAAGGCATCGAGATCTACAATTTTACATTACTCAATTGTTCGAAAACTATCATCTAAGTTAATTAGGTTGTTTTCCAGGAAGGAATGTAAGACACAAAGCTGTACCCGAGCTCCTCCAGTCCTGTGGTTCTCTTTACATTCCAAGACTGTGACAAACATCCTAAATTAGTGCAACGTACCTCAGCAGCGCCACTCCCAGCTTCGTATTGCAAGGTCCGAACCTTTTGACCAACGACATCAGTCCGTTCACGAACACGTGCAGATGGTTTTGTTGTCCTGGACTTAAACTTCTCCACCCCGTTCCCTGTCTCGCCTCTCTCATATCGTTCTTTGAATGTTTGAAGACTTGAGAGTTCAGCATCTTTCTTAGCAGCGATCTCTTTAAGAAGAGCAACCTTTAAAAAAAGGAAAAAACGAAAAGCTTAGAAAACTTAGAAAATATGAAAAAACAGCAGTTGACTCGTAAAACCTGAATTACATGGCACTTGTACTCAAACTTGATGGTGCCAACCTGCCAGAGCAGAGGACTTATAACAGCGATTTTAAGATAGGGTGTTTTGTGGGAGTGAACAAGCGTTCGGATACATCGACCAAATATCAAGTATGAATGAAATGAACAAGATTTGTACACGGACATGTGACACTAGGGCCATGATACAGCCATGTGACGCTAGGCTTCAAACAAACGAAACAGTAGTGGATGGAGAGATAGTATTTCGGAAGTGCTAAATTTACCTGCTCTTTGAGATTTTGAATCTCTCCACTCTCCTTGTTACTACGTGCAGCTCCCAGCTCCACTGTCGATACCCTTTCGGCAAACTTCAGTGTACTGACAGTCTCTCCAAAGGAATCCACATCGGGACTTATGTGTACAAACATCAAAGTCTTTGCCTGACCGCCTGCATAAGATGAGCGGGCCAACGATTTTCTTATGAATATTTGGAAGGCAATGTATCAACAACATAACGTAATCAACCATACAAGGCGCTCTCATCTGGAAATATGGACAACAATGCAAGGTCGCCACACATAGACAAATTAAAAATATTAGCGGCTTCAAATACCTAGAGAATCCTGTAGCAACTGTGTAAGCTTGCTATTTCTGTAAGGTACATGCACATTCTTTTGTGCCAATGCAGCTATGACATCACCAAGGGCTGAAAGAGATTTATTAATGTGTTGAGCTTCTTTCAATCTATCACCCGTGGCTTCAGACCGGTCAACTCGTTCACTTCCAGCGAGATCCACCAGGTGAAGAGATCCCCTTAAAATAGCTCCAGATTCCAGATCAGTCCCTTGAACGTGCACTGTCAGCACACTACCCAACAAAAAATCAAGTCTTAATATCACTCCGTGAATTCTACAGTTGAACTGAAGCTTTCACCAAGGTTTCCAGAAAACAGTACTGATAAAAAATTTTAAAAAATGATCTGTGGTGTACCAAGTCACGGGAAGCAAATAACGGAAAATATAACGTCAATGAAGAAGACAATATATTAACTTAAATGGCTCAAATGTACGAAAGAAATCAAGAAGGCAGGACAAGAAATGATACCTGTGAGATCTACTACTACGTTCGTTAAGAGCTGTAGCACCAACAGCTCTGTTCTTCTGGCCAACTTTCATAAGGTCCAATACATCTTCTGTAGACCTAACTGACATCCTACTGGCGTCGGGAACATTTAGACCATTCAACTGGGAGTTGTTTCGAATCTCGAGCGTGCTAGAATTAAGGTAGAAACATCCCGGTTTCACAGGTACATGTACGTGCGTTTGTTAGTATAAATGCATGCAGAAAATGGAAAGTAACACTGTGTATAGCAGAACAGTAACAGCGAAACGCATGGACATGGGTGTCCAATTTTTCACACATCCAAGCCTACAAAAAAGATCGAATATTGAAAGGATATTTCTTCTGAACTCCGTCAGCTGCAAGAAGATCCCGAACTTGCTCATTGTAGATTTCGAGCATCTGCACCGAAATCTCATAGCGGAAAACGTCGTGTCTACTTTGAGTTGTATGAAACAAGTCATGAAGTGCTCTGTAATTCACTCCCCAATCCACGGGAGTCATGTTGTTTGGACCACTCTGTTTTCAAAGAACGCATCACATACCACATAAATAAAAAGAGATTCTTAAGACAGACTGTTTAAAGTGAGATATTCCGAAGGCTAATGATTAAGACAAAGAAAAAAATACGTGCAAACATTCATAAGGAAGACGAAGGACATGCAAAATTTTGATCGAAATAGAACCCTCAACAAAAATCTCGATATTGCAGTGAGGCACGAATTGCACAGAATGACGTTGTTTGTACTTCGCCGCCCAATATGAACTTATTGACCCAGACACTGCAAAAATGTCTAGGAGGTAGGATGCGGACAAAAAAATGTCTACTACGCAAGATGACAACCAGAACTTACCATTGTAAAAGTCTTCCCGGATCCTGTTTGCCCATAAGCGAATATGCAAACATTGAATCCATCTAAGACAGACCGAATTAACGGCTGCGTGTCCAGAAAAACCTCCTCTGAAGAAACAAAATCACACAGGCTTAATCAGAGTACAATAGCAAATTGTTCATCTTCTTGAGAGCACATACGTCATGAAAATCGCATTACAATCTCAAAGAGACATGAGATAGCAATCGATTCAACACATTCCAGACAAATGAAAACAAAGCATGCTTCCAACGGAGTTCATTGTAAGTCGTATACACTGAGTGACCAAGTCTATTGACCAAAACAGAAAGAAAACTGCAAAATAAATGAAAGGACTGGATAGGTCGCAAAAAATGATAATCTCAAAGCAACTGGAAACATATCAGACCTTGTGAAGCATTAGGGGCAAAACACTTGTTGAATGAAAATGACTTCCGTGAATCTTTTGCACCAGGCTTGAGGGGGTTCACTAACATCAACTCCCCATTTTCGCCAATATAATCAATTGTTGTTTGTCTCCCAAATTCCTCAGTGAGAAAAGGTCTAACTCTACAATAAACCCGGATATTACCTGACCATAGACACAAGGGAAGCAGACACAAGGTTACAACGGATAGGACCCATCATCGGAATCTTTGCAGCAGGAGAAGGGGAAAGCTTGATGTCAGCTAAACAAATTTATCCTCTTACACAGTACTCAACAGATAAGAGGCCAAGCTTTACTTCAGGTCAAAGAGGTTAACTCTTTCCCATAAAAATTTGAAAAAGATTGAAAAGTACAGATCTGTCATCACCGCGCTTCCACACTATCAAAAAATACGAAAACACACACGCGCAAAAGCGTTCTAAATGAGTAAAAGGAAGTCTACCAATGTCTTTCAAATAGACAATCGTACTCAAGTTAGGCGGGAAAATTAACCACTATAGAGCCTTGGTTAGAAATGAACCTTTCAAATCTTGCACTTCATTGTACAGTATTCGATTCTCAGCAAGCACCTTGTGGTATCCAGATGCTGCTCGAGCCATACTCTGAAGCTGTTCTTCTGCACAAGCAAGGGAGAAGGATTCATGTAAGCAAAAAGAGGTCAATCAAAAGCAAACAAGGACATCTACATAAATTGGAAAGGTATATTGCCACTCACCAAGCATACTGAACTGATCATTCCACTCTGTCTGCATTCTCAAAAACTCGTTCCTCGTGTCGAGTTGGGACAACCTGAGATCCTGCAGACAATCAATTGTTTAATGAGCGGTCAATAATGTGACTTTGTATCTTGCCCTCAGAAAAGAGCAGAAGCGAAAGCTCAAAACATTTAGTGTATTTGCAGTTCTTGGGATAGAAGCTAACAGACCCATTGTGTACCTTGTATTCAAGGAGCTGACTTGAGAGGAAATTTTGATACTGAGTATCCTTCAGTTTCAGATTACTCATTTCCCTTTCTGCATTGGCTTCTAAGTTCTTCAACTTCTCGTAAGAATTTTGAAGTTCAGACTCAAGAGAGTGGATCGTTTCCTGATACTCGTGCTCGATTTCTTTCTTCTGAGTTTCAAGCCGCAACAGCATCTCCTTGTCAGAGCGCCTATTGAGATCCAACTCATTCTTCAGCACTTTCACGGTTGACTGGTACTCCTTGTTCTCTTGCAGCAATCTGTTCACTTCCTCATCCTTTGTTTTCATTTCCTCTGCCATTTGCTTCATCTCCGCCTGTACATATGAAACCAACACCTGCTTATTTCTAGAGCTCTGAATAAGATAATCTTCACATTATGAAGGATGAACCGCATTTGTACACATGCAATCTGTTCGGATACAAGGAGGCACTTATCTAGAACAAATGAAACGAAAATTCAAAAAACGAAAAAAAAAGGTGCTGACCTCCATTTTGTGCAGCAATCCAGAGTATAGCTGCCATCCCACGACGACCAAGAATTAGACATCATGCATCGAATTACAAGAACAAAAAACCCGGAAAAGATTTGGGATACCAGCAGGATTAAGACACTACACAACTTGCACCTAAATTAACCTGATAAAATTCTGATTGCTGCTTCCACACAATACACGCCTTACAAAACTCGAAATAAGAAGTAAGGAACCAGACCGAGAGAGTGAGGGAGAGAGACAATGAATCGCCACTTACGTTTATCTCCTCTTGGGTCCCCGCTGTAAGTGTAGCAAGAACAGAATTTTGGGAAGAAAGCTTGGCTTCTCGAGCCAATATCTCTTTCAAGGAAGTCCTCATCTGCAAAAAAAAGGGACATTAAAAATATTGCAGAACTGCCTGGAGTAGGAGTAATACGTAATAACAGGTCAATGACATGACAGAAAGCCAACATCTACAAAATAAGACCTTCACAGAAGTTCGCACCTTTGTGACCTGTTTCCTTTGAGTAAGAAGATGACGCTCAAATTCCTCCATTACCTTCCGCAACATAAACTCCACAACCTGCAGTTGCACGATAAGAACCAGGACAGGCTAGCGTATATGAAGAGTAAGCCCATGAAGCCAACGTGCAGTTCTGCCGAGATTCTAACTTATATCAAAAAATCCAGTGAGAAACTGAACGTGAAGTAGGTTTTCACCATAGGCACTTCTTCAACGTTTTTGTCGTGCAAGATGGCATTAATCAGACTGAGAAGTGACTGGGATGGAGCGTTCTGTATGCCACAAATACACACTTGCAGTGAACAAGTAGAAAAAAACATCTGAGAAATTAACTCAATCTAAAGAAGAAACTATACGTACGAGCGGAGCTCAACAACTACACATTCGCCACACCAAAAGGATTGAGAAAAGAAATAAAATAGTACAAAATAAAACTTTCCTACTTAGAATGACGCCTTATGAACCCGTCTTACGTCCCATCCCCAAGCAATCAAGCTTGCGGAAATTATTAAAGTTAATTCACAACTAAATGTACGGATCTGCAATGTGCAAAATGTGACGACACGTAGAAATTCTGAGTTGAGTCGCACCATGTTACAGTTATCAAATGACTAGGACTGGCATAAATAATACTTACATCTAATGCTGCAGTCGGTCCACCATAGCCATCTGTGGCAAATGGTCGAGAATCCGAAACCCCCTGCATACTCTTAGCATTGACTTGAAGAACCTCGTGACACTTGTCTCCAAGGTGTTGTAACCAGGTAGATTTGGACACTGCAAGTTGGATGACAAAGTGTGAACGCAGGAAAAACTGGCATATCGTAGCATGACTCAAGAACATCAAAATACAAGTCATTCATCCAGACATACGCTGTGCTAAAAGAACTGAAAGAACTGAACCAGCGCTTCAATACCTGCGGAGTTGTCCTCAATGTCACCATTTTTAGCTGACCCTTTATACTTCATAGATGGGCCGTTGGACAAGACTTCATGACCTGAAATGGAGTTAGCAGGTTCGAAACTTGCGGGTTGATTGGACAGATTTGCCGACGAAGCATTATCGAGGGAACCTTGATCAGGATTGGACCACTTTTGCCGAGAGTTGAAACTACTATTCATACCCTTGGACCGGCTGAATTGTGTACTTTCTGTTGAATGATTTGGAGAATTCAATCTCCAGAAACCCAAGGAACCGCCCTGCTTCCAGTCATAGTAGGATTTCAGTGCCAGTATGCAGTCCACCAGCTTTGCAGATGCGCTAGTAGACATGGATCCCTGCCACAACGAATAGCATCGAAAACAAATTGAACACGTTAATCAATCTCCAACCGTAAAAAGTAGAATTGAAATCTCCACTTGTTTCGAAACGGCTACACTCTTTTATAATGTTTTACGTTTATTTTAACCTCATAAGAAGAAATCTATATTAGATGCTAATGACCATCGCTTTGTTTCACCAATGGAGGATTCCGATACTTCGTGAGAAACGATGCTTAAAGCTCCATACAGCTCGAGAGACTTCAGACCTGCTCCAAGTCAGATACTTCAAACGATGGTAGTCCCATTTCCTCCACTGCTACCAAAAAGTTTCGAACATTCTCGAAGTACTGATATGAAGAACGCGCTCCATCGGGGACCGAGGGTTCCATTACCTGTCCATACAGCGGCATACAGAGGCTGAAGAATAGAAGACAACAGGTGGTACATGAAAGGATCCAAAACTAAATTTTTAGAGCAGTTGCGATTTTGCACAAGCACAGCAGTACTGGAATTGGATACACGGATATTGAATGGTATGCAACACATGCGATGTGCCTTGTGAGGTCTAAAACTGAAAGGGTTTGAGGGCTATAAGCTAATGTCACATAAAGTACAATGTTGAGAGTGTAATTCATAAAACTCCACTGACTTCATCACCTAACAAGGAAAAGCGTTGGTGCTGGATAGCAAGGGAGGCTTACTACTAAGTTCTTACTGTAAAATTCTCTATGTAGTTCTTGAACCCATCCTGCTTAAAGGGACTGCTATATTACTTTCATTGACGCATTAGCGTTCACTCCATCCTGGGCCAAGCCATGCTCTGGAAAACCGGCCAGCCGACATTCAAGGCTGAACAAACAAAAAGGGGAGCTACTTCTTGACTTCATTTCCAATGACAATCAATAAGAGTCAGCCTGTAAAGTTATGAAGATCCGAGCCGATTCCCAGCAGACGATAAACGAACTGCAGATTGCGACTTTACAAAATGAACACGTTTCACACTATACAATGTCGTCATTCCTGCACTTATCGTACACCTACATTTTGGTTTAACCCCAAGCCTTCAAACTCTGTTGCTTGGAAATTCGATTTAGAGCGAGATGTAATGAGAAAAAAATGTTACGAACAGACCATTTTTCCGACAAGCAACTGAACGTGATGATTTCATATATAATACAAGACTAAGGTTGAATCCAACTTTACAAGCATCCAGGTAAAAGGAGGTATTCCCACCTTTGGGACAGCGCCAGACTGAACCATATTAATAAGATTGCAAAGAGAGATTCCGTTCCTCAGACAAAGCTGCAGGTCTTCCTCAGTGGCATCGGATGACAGACCGAGATTTCCAACCATCTCTTGCAACCATAAAATCGCTTGCTGCCTCCTTGCTGCTGAGTTCGCATCACATTGACAGATAACAAATTAAACAGAATTGAATAATGAGTACTCTATCAACACCAACAGACGAACTATCCAACCAACTAATGTACCCCTGAATAAGAATCTGACTAGGGAAAGTGACTTCACAAGTGAACAAGGTCAAACATTAACCAAAACTGATTCGGTGCGAAACACTGAATGACCATTGATCTACGAACGAGACGGGTGGACTTTGTGTTGACACAATGATCATATCAGTGACACACTCGACCAACAGAAGTTAATTTTATGGGGGGACATCACAGCACGATTTCGGGGTACCTGATCTAAAATACGCAGAGGTTATAGAAATGTATACTACATCATGAGTAGGATTAGGATCAATCACTTAGCACCGGGTCTTTTGTCATTCTACGGCTGAAGAGTCCAGACAGTTCGGATGTTGCACATGGATCATGTATAATAGTTCAGTAATCAAAAAGTGCGGGGTACACTGCGCAGGGACTTTTAGTTCAAAATCTGAGAGACGAATGATCCCGACAACAGACTATGTCGGCCACCACATACAGGTCAAGCTCTTCAGTCCCTCTTTCGATTGTGCCAAGATAGACCCTCACAACACGGGCATTATACTTAACTACAGATCGCCCGGTGGAAACACGATAGAAGGCTTGGACGCTTATTTAGTAGACTAATACCACAGACTAAGATGAAAAAGCCTGTGATCTGAACCTGATTCCTCTGCCCTTCTGGATGCCAGACGTGTATCGCTCAGTCTTACTCCTGCCGTAGAGACTGCAGCGTTAACAATAGAACCTGTCGTGTGCTTCATGCCTTCCTGAGCAGTACGTTCATAAGCCTGCTCCTTCGTCCTCTCGACGTCTGGAATCCTCTTCTCAGGAAGATAAAATGTCTCGCTCCCATCGTACCAAGAATTAATGGACAATCCCATGCCATGAGGCATCGCTCCATCCATAGAAGAGAGTGTCCCGTTCTCATAACCCATTCTAGCCACATCCATAACTACGGCGTTCAAACAAAATTACCGGAACTTTCCGGCCAGAGTCCTAAGCTGAAAGCGCGATGTTTGCTCAACGCAACTATGTACAGAGAAGAATATACCGCTCAATGCCATAGCCATGGTCTTCAGTGTAACATAGAATTGACATCACCTTCGCAGCTACTACAATCTAGAGCATCAACCGTCAACCCATTATGCGGACTTCCTTCGCTAACAGCCTGTAATTCTATTTTGTCTTAGCGATTACAGAAAAGGGATCCGGAAGGAATACAACGGAACTTGAAGCAGCAGTCTCGCTGTGTCACCAAGGTTCTAGATTCAGAACTGTTCAGAAATGATTTGGCTACAAACAGATCCAGCCAATGGTCACGATGTTGCAGCTGCGCGAACACAATCGACGGAAGAGTCAGTAAGAGTTTTTTTGGCTATACCAAAAGGCATCTCATATTTAACCCGTTATATCTCAAAGCCACATTGCAATTCCACTTTCCACCTAAAGAGCACTGCCGGAAAAGTCTCATCAAATGTGAGAAAAACAATCCCTTGAAATCAGATAACAGCAGCGCAAGCTTCAAGTGCTGCAGCGAATCAATGAACGTCTCCCAATAAGCCCTATCCTTCCTTCGCTTTACAATCGTATTTCAAGCGGCTAAACCTCGCCACAATCCACCCTACACACGATGTCCAACTATTGCACCCACACCGAATAGTATCGAAGCTAATCCCGCATCCTGTAGACTCATTATTACCTTTCCGCTCATTGAGTCGATGCACGAAACGATCGAAAACTATTAAGTCCACTGACGTCCTTCACGAGGATCGAAGCCTCGACACAACCATGCCCCTCTTCTCTCGACCACGAGAAAGGGCAATGCAGAAACCTACCAAGGATACGCAAACTCGCAATGGCATAACAACAGCGTTTCCTTCTTCAGCCGCCCTTTCCCAATCCGATCTCCCTAACCTCCCCTAACGCGATCACAAGAACCTACCTCTGCTCGCACTGAGCTCCTCCCCTCTGCAATCCCGCCCATCCGCCAAATCAGTTCCTCAGCACCCAAAAACAGAAACTAAGAAATGAAAAGAAGAATCGCAAAACACCATCAGCAACAATAACCTGCGAACCTACCAGCATTGCATCATCATCATGACCGCCATTCCGGAAGGGAATCCGTCCATGATGACAGCCCAACGCTTCACACTCACTCACGCACCATCAAGATCATCCTCGACTCGCAACTATCGGCGTTTCAGCGTTTCCAAGGGAGGCTCCTGCTCAACAAACTTACCCCCGATCCTTCCGATGGTAGCTGCTCAGATCTACCTCACATTTTTCACCGTCCCCGCATCATCATCATCATCAGCGCTCTGTTTGGGCTATCGCTACCTGCTCCTGGTCCTCGTCCTGGTGCTCCCACATCCGCCCCTGAATGGCTCCGTCCAACAGCGAGCGATGTAGAAACCTGGGCAGGAGGGGGGGCTTTGCTTTGAACCCATCCCATGGGTACCACCGTGCACCTTTTTCCTGACTACGGAAAACCAGTTCGTCAGAGGATCATAAATCCTTGATTGGTCTAGCTCCAGGTTTTCAAAACTCTCGTGGATTTGAATTGGTGGCACGTACTACATCGTCGCGGTCATAGGGTGGGAGGGGGGAGGGAGGGAGGGTTACGCCGAGGCCATGTGCCCGTGGAAGTATCGCGAGAAGGGCGTGGTCAGTGGCGTGGGGTAGGGAGGGTGGGGGGAGGCACTGGATGAACGTTGGAAGTTGAATTGGAATGCGGGGGAAGGCGGGAACTGTTTCCCCGTCATGTGCCGCCCCCCTCTTTACTAGGCCAGAACGGGGCAACGGTTCTTGCCGCCTCGGAACCCGTGCCCGTTCCCTGCAAATCTACTTACCACTTCTAGTGCTGCTGCTGCTCCCTCCCTGCTCCCCTACCCTTCTCCTTCCCTTCCCCAACCCGCGCTCCTCCTCCTCCTGTCTTGGATTCCTCCCCCCACATTTGCCCCGCCCGCGCAGCTTTTGTCAAGCGGGTTCTTCGATTTTTCCCCTATATTTTCTCACTTGGAGGCTTTTTTTTATAGAACTGGAGGGCGTTCGTTCCTGGTGCGGCTGGCTGGGCACAGAGGATCCGCTCTTTCTCTCTCTCCCTCTGATGCGTTCCTTCATTAGGGTTTCTGACTCCGCCATGGACCTGTTCAAAAATATCTAGGAATCCATCCCATCGCATTTAGAACCCCCCCCCCCCGTGCCTCCCTCTCTCCCTTCCCTCCCTGCCCTCACAACAAACACACACACTTACACACTTTCACTTCTTCTCTCGAAGGAAAGGGAAGGAGAAGAAGTTTGTGAGTGAGTGATCCCAGTGGTCGGGGACCATAATTATCAGTTGTGTCATCCGTGTTTACACGGGTGATGTTCATTACTACTGCTACTAGTGTCATTGTTATCGCAGACTGAGGAGGGTTCAACGGTTCTGCATCATCCTGAGACACTTGTACTCCTCAACCCCCCCCCTCCCTTTGAGGTTTGATGGTCATTTCTCACTTCTCAAGGTACATTTGAAGATATGTCTGAGATTAGCAGATTCTTGTCATAATGTATGTAAGAAAATTGGAAACAGGTGTATGTATGTATGTATGTATGTATGTATAAAATAAATACAAACCCCCACGTAAAACATGTTTAAGTTTAAAATTATGAAAAATAAAATAAACAAATAAATAAATAAAACTATTTTATACATATTTGGATGATGATAGAATTCATACATGTACATAATAATATTGCACATTAAAATTAGGGGAATGCAAAATACACCCTTCAAATTGCTATTTTCACTCTTTAAATGACTTATGGGCTATTTCTGAAGCATCCATGATGTTAAAACAAGTACACCTCCCAAATTAGAATTTGTACCTTCAACATGATTATTGGGTTGCCTCTAAAGCATCTGTAATACTATAAACACTTCCAAACACCTTCAATCCCTATATCTCTAAATCTTCAAACTTTGCTAAATTTTAATTACAAATATATTATTTCCATCCAAAACTTTGTATTATTCATAAAAAGAGATGTTGAATTCTATGAAGGCATTTGATCACACCTAAGACTATCCTCTTACAACATTATGCTTTGATCATGCTCGAAAGAAGATTATACTACTTCTCTTTGTATAGCATATTTAAAAGAATATTCGTATAAATTACAAGAAGTATTTTGAGATGGAGAAAGACTACAAAACCTTTCAATAATTATAGAAAGATATTATTTAATTGCCAACAATTAGAATATTCATCACTTAATAGAATATACTTTGTCAAGTATAATTGAGCATCTTTGTTCCATTTTAGTACCTTTTGACGACCTTGATTATACACAAGGAGCACTTTGTCATAGCCTAAACAAATACTATGCTTGTATTTGAATAGTATTTGAAGAGAGTAGTATTAAATGTGATCAAATGCCTTCACAAAGTCCAATATTTCTACTTGGAAGTTGTACAAAGTTTTGGGTAGAGGTAACATATTTGTGATTAAAATGCAGCAAGATTTGGAGGTTTGGAGATTAAAGGTCTTTAGAGATTTAAATGTTGAAGGTGTTTGAGAGCTTCTTTAGCATTGGAGATGCTTTAAAGAGAATCCAATAATCATATGAAGGATAGAAATCTCAACTTAGAGAATATACTTGTATTCAGTATTCTGGCACTTTATGGAAAATCCAAAAGTGAAATAGTATTTATGTACTAAAATAAATTCATTAAATATGTAATATATTTTAATAGTATAAATTAAAAATAAAGTCATTCAATATCAAAATATTTATAAAGATTATTGAAATAAATTATTTCATTTGAATAATATTATAATTTATATATGTATGTATTTTTATCTATTATTATATTTTAAATATTTTATCAAGCAATTAGTATGTTAAAAATTTAATAATTCAATATAGGTTATATGAAACATATAAATTCATGTGTTTTTTGTTAAACCACTTATTTTATATTCAAAGTAATCTATGAAATTTGATATTTAATAAACTATTTTATTTCTTTCACATAATACTTTAATTTTAATAATTTAGATGTATATTTTTAGAAAATATATAATTTTATTAAGTATTTTTATTATATATATATATATATATGTATAGATTTATAAATTTTATATTTAAGAAATTTGTAGAATAATGAAATAGAAGTCATTTAATTGTATAATATATCAATTAAGTTACAATATGTGCAATATTAATAGTGCACCAAAATAGTATTTTTGAAAATTATATTTTTTTATGCATATTAGCCAAATTAAGTCTTACTTAATTAAAATTTTCATAAATAAAAAAATAACTCACTTAGATTTTTAGTATAATTAAATATATAAATATTTATTATTTGGTCAAATCTTTATATTATTAAATAATTATCTATAAAAATATTTATTAAAAAGTTTTTAGATTAATATTATTTATGATAATTAACTATCTTACAATATTATTTTTTCAAATGGATCACTTTTTGATTAATTTATTACATTTTTATTAAAATAACATATTATTATTTATTCAAAACTCATCTAGATATTGAATTCTAAATAAGAATCTATTATATGTATATATATATATATATATATATATATATGTATATATTTATAATAGTGAATTAAAAGAATAACTTCATTGCCTACTTAATATAATAAAATTTTAGTGAAAATTATGGCAATTGTAATGAAATATTATGAACATACATATTTATTTTAGTAATTACTTAGATAATATGAAAATGTAGAAGTAAGTAAAATTAGTTAAATTTAATAATATCTTGTAGGAAATCTTTTTAGAAGCTCTATAGATGTAATTTTATGGTTATACATGTCTATAGGTGATTGATAGATTAGAAACTTTGCTAATAAGTTAGCCATGTATTGCTTGTGTTTGCAGTTTGTGGTACAAGTTAACTATGTGGCACATATATAAGAAACTTCTTTTACAAATTAGACACATGTCATGGGAGTTGGACATGTGTTGGAGGTCTTATAGAGTGTCACCATGTAGCTCCTAGTTAAATAATAAATATAGACGTAAGAGTGAGGTCTTCTTCACTCTTATCAACTTCTTTCTTGCTTTCAGTTTAGTTTCAAGAGTCTTTAGTTTTTTAATCTTTAGCAATAGCCATTCTTGTTTCTTCTTTAATAAATATGCTTTCTTATTTCTATTTTGTAATATTGCTTTGATACATATTTTATTTGTTTACATATCTTCTTCAAGTTCTTGTCATTGATACAAAGTATTCACAAAATGACAAATTTATTTTACAATGTGAGAATTTCATTTGCCTTCCATGATGATTAAGAAAGTTGTTGAAAAATATTTATTTTATTTTTATTAATTAAAAATTTAAGTCCTATTTCTATATAGAAGTATAAAATATAGGTATAAGAAAAACTACATTATTACAAACCAAAGTGTCTCTTCAATAGTTTTTGTAGTTTAAATTTGATTTTATTAAGTAATGTCCTAAGTCTATCATAAGATATATCCAAAGTCTATTACTAAAGTATCACTTTTAATTGTTCATTTGAATTTCTAATAGCAAACTAGATATAAGCTTGTTTTACAATTGAACTGATTAAAAAAATAAAGTATTTATGAATAAGAAAGCTTTAAATATTTTAAAAAAATAAGTTAACTATAATAAAAAAAAATCATATATATATATATATATATATATATATATATGTATATCTCTATGTATATTTATATTATATCATATTTTTACTTTGAATATTATATCTATATATTACACAGATAATATATTTATTCTCATAAAAAACTCTAATTTTTTTAGTTTAATTTAATTTAATTGAATTGTATTATTATCAATAACATTGATCTTCTTATTTAGGTTTGCTATACCTTAAAAGCAAATAATTTTGCAATCAATAATAATTAATGCTTCAAAGATCTTAATAATCATTAATTCTTATAGAATCTTCTTTATTTTAAGAGCACTTATTTACTTTTGAAGGACAAATGTATCTCATTGTGTTACAAACTTATTAAAAACATTGTAGAATTTGCAAAGTTGTTGAATAAAAACAAGATAGTGTATTATATGTTTTGAGGCTTTCAATAACCTCAATCGTAAAAGGTCAAAATAGAACCCTTTCTTCTTCTTCTTCTTCTTCCTCTTTCTTTCTTTCTTTCTTTTTTTTTTTTTTTTTTTTTTTTTTCTATATCTGCACTGGATCAAAGGTTTTTTTCTATGATACTTTAGATTGTATCCATCTACATTCAGTTTTTCAAAGAAAATATTAGCCTTTTACATTTCATGTGTTGTTTCTTATTTTTTGGTCATCAAATAATTTGGATGACATATTTGTAATCATTAACTACTTCCAAATACAGTAAATTTAAGTCTTGACATGCTTTTTTATTATATATATATATATATATATATATATATAGATATACAAATAGAATAATTCCTTATGTCTGAAAAATTATTGATAATAATTTATTAAATAGCTTCAGGATGTTTTAGTATTCAATTATTTTTTTTTTGAACTTTCATATAATATTGCTATTTATGCTTCTATTCCAATTGTGATTAACATATTAGTTATAATATGGTGTAACAACTTAAATCTTATCAATGTTACAAGACATTATTTTTCTTATAGAAAATATAGGTTAGATTAGAGAGATTCCTTAGATATTTTATTTAAAAAGAAACTCGAGAGTATACCATAATGTCATTGATATAAGTAAAAAAGAAAAAAGAAAAACCGTGGTATTGAGTTTGGTTTTTTTTTTTTTTTTAATTATTTTATACAAAATAATGACTAATTGTACTTATAAGAGAATATGACCTAAATAATTTGAATCTTTTTGTAATCTTGGAGCAATCAAATTCTATGAGTTACTATTTAAAGTTATCATTATTTTTAAAGGTAAGCTATGTATTGTAAGATTTGCATTGAGATATTTGTAAATAATTGATCATAATAGAAAGAAGAAAAAAGTCTATTTTTCTATGAAATTCAACAAGTATATATTATGTATTAAGATATAAAAGTACTAGACTTATTTGGCACATTGGCACATTAGAAAAATTACATTGGTACATTAGAAAATTAAATTGGTAATCTAAATGTAAATAATCAACAATAAGAGTAAAATAATAATAAAAATAAACATTGTTGTAATATATCCTTTAAACCAATAAGTTAAATTATGGACACATCCAACAGTTAAGTATTAGAGAAGAAAAGTTAAATGAAATCTTTTTGAGATCCTTATGAAATTCATATTAATGTCTTATTATACTTCAAATGTATTAATAGAACAAGACATTTAAATTCTATTTTTAAAACCCAGGAATTATTCTAACTTTATTAACAACCATGTTTGAGAAATCGAAAATATGATGCAGAAGTCTTTTAGCATCAAATAAATTTGCAACTAATTTATTATATGCATCTTATTTAAACTACACCTTCAAATAGATTGTTATTGCTTAGCAATCGTTACTGATAAAGGTGCCATATTTTGAGACGGTTTCAAATTATATTGCATTGGATTTTAAAGGCACTTACACTAAATAATTTTACAAGTGATTCTTCTATTACAACATTGGCTGTTATTGTTGGATTTGAGGACCCACAGGCCACCTTTAAACTGATTATTAGGAAACATATTTAACCCTTATCTTAAACATAAATGTGTAATTTTAAAGTAACTAGTTTTGATTTACTTTAAGTAGAATCTGTTTCCAAAGGAAGAGGTTGTGGTACTAAGTAATGGTACAGGTATAAACTATTCAATTTTTTTTTTTTATTCTCCAAAGATACTTGAAAGTAATCTTTCATTAGAAATAAAATTTGAACTTAATTGGCAAGCACTCTTAATGAACTAAAAAACTATGTTGGGACACGAGTATACTATTTAGAATAGATAATAAAACCATCCTGTGAAAGTAGCTCTTTCATTAGGGAGAGGGTACGGGCCACTTAGCGGATTGGACAGACATTTAGTGTCAACGCACATTCTGTGTCATGGAAATGCTGCTTGAAGTTCGTTGAGAAACAATCAGGATACAATTCTGTATGACCTCCTGTCCTTCTAATCTGAGTGGATGTCTTTCAATTCTATACCTGGTATGTCTTGTTCCCTAGCTCCCCTTCGACTACTTGAGTTACATAGGTTTTGCAACAGCATATTTGGTTATTCAGCTCTAGAAGTTGCAGTACCCAACTACACTAGTTTATTTTTTTTCCATCTGTCAGCCACGTTCCAATGCTTCAAAAACAGAGCAGTGAGAAGCCTGTGTGAAAGACTTGGTTGTTATGTCCATTCTGAATCTCTCTTGCAGCCCTCTATAATCATAACTGGCTAGAATGCACAGAATATCTGCTTGACACTTGTCTCCTCTTCCAGGTATTCTTCATTTCTTGGAAAAGAAATAATATTTTTGATTCGGTTTGGTTCTTTTACCCTAATGGAAAATGTGTTGCTGGCCCAATGTCCCAGACATCAAGCCCACTTCAGGCTGAAAACTATCACATATACCCCGACTTCCAGGGCCTCCTAAAGCAGGACTTTGCACCAAACCCATTCCCAAACTCTGGTGGGGTACGGGCAGCAGAGCACGACCAGCACCAGCCCGTGTCAAATTTTGATAAGCTAATATGTCGGCCACACCATATCCGAGGTTTACTCCGGATGCCATGATTCCTTGATAATGGCCCACCGAAGGCGGTGAGGGAAGTGGTGCAGAGGACGCTCCTGGCTGCGTGGGCTTGCTGCCCCACGAACACTGCATATTTTACCAACATCATCAGAAGCTTTCTTTCAACCCAAAAGCGACGATTGATAAATGGGCTTGCAGCGCTACGGAGAATAAGTATATTAGCAAGTGAATCGTCCCGTCAAATTCCCATGACCTCAGGGTCTTAAGTTCTATGTATCACTTTCCGAATTTCCTACCCGGCATCTGTGGTTATAAAAATCTCTACACTATGCAACAAAAAGTAACAAATCCAGAAGATTTTCGGATCTCAATCCAGTTTTCCTATTCTACCGATGTAGCAAATCGGAATGCCCATTGCATCAGACCCATACGTAACTGTTTATACACCGTGAGACGAAAACCGCGTACCTTCAAAGACTTGCCCCAAATTACCCTACCATTGGCAGCCTGAATTGCAAAAGCAGCCTCTGCATGGGTGCGGTATCTCACAAAACCAAAGCCCTTCTCTTTCTGCACCCGCACATCCTCTATCACGCCGGCTCCCAGTGAGTGGAACTGACGGTGAAGCTCTGCTTGTGTTATCTGGCGTCCACAACAGGTCATGATTACCTCGTTTTAAGATGCATGAAAGTTTTCCATCAAGCAGACAACATTACTCAACAAGGTACAGTTGCAAATTATAGCCGAAGGGTCCTATCGCGCCTCCCTCATTTGAACTGACGCGACGATCGCACTGACATTCTACAGCATCCAAAAAGCGTCTCTGCAGTAAAAAATTAAGAAGCTTATCATTATGATTCACTCTGAATTATTAGTGAACTTCCACCATAGCATAGCACTGTGATAGGAGCACGTTTCAGAGCAACTATGGCCACTTCACTCAGTGTAGGATATAACCAAGTACACGTCTATGTTACTCATACGCCAATTGCAAGCAGAGGTACGCGTATCGATACCTGTTGAGAAAGATTGCCCACATAAACTGTGGTATACTGGGAATTGATTTCTGGTCCATCTCCGGCAGAACTATCTTGACGATCCTCTGACCGCACATCTGCAAGACAGCACAGCTACGTTTTCAGTCCATAATTCAGTTACAGTCAATGATCGTAAAGAAATTCAGATCACACAGGATTCATATGCTTCTATTTAAACCTTGAGCCGGATGTGATCAGATGAAAACGCTTAGATAGATGGAATGACCTTGTCCGATTGGTGATTGAAGCCCCACCCTCTGATCCACTTTGCAGTTCACAGTTAACCCGCGTGTAGTCAATTTACTTTCATCCGCCTGAATGGTGTTATTCGTCTTAGCAGCCCAGTTGCAACGAATCGGTCGGGTCCCAAGCCACTTTCCTGCAATAAGTGTTCATCAACATGTGAATATGGATGACAGCCCTCCACACCACTGAGAACGACTATCTGTAAACAGGCGCACTGCATCCAGAGTATGCAAGGCTCTCCTGACAGTTATCCCCACCCATTCCTTTTCGCAGCTTGTACACCTTCCGCATCGGTTTCGTAAAAGAATCCCGTTGGCTACAAGTGAGACTCTTAGTGTAACTTAAGACTTCATGGCAGGCCGATCATCACAAGGATGATAGTGGTATTGCAAAGCAAACCCTTCAGGCTAACAGTGAAAGGGTACAGAAATAATGTTATACCCGTCATCTCCGATATAGAACTCTCGGCTTCCTGCAAAAACCACAGGTTCAAACTTCACCCAAGAATCCGTGGATGAATACCACAAAGTGAACAACAAGGCTTGGACAAAATTCTGAAAATTCGTCATATATAAGAGATTGTTATGTGTTTCCATTGCCGGGATTTAATTGAGTGCTTAAGACACCAAATCAAAGACAAATGTGGAAGAAAACTACTTCAGAAAACTACTGGAAGCAAGAATTCTTCAATGACAGATTGTTTGAACTCATGAATTTAAGCGTGAAACAGCTACTCAGGTACGGATGGGAGCCCATCCATTACCAAGGCCTACCTGAATATTCTTAAAGCCGCCCTGGAAGTAAACATGCCTGAACCTACCTGCTGACTTCTGAAAGAAACAAAGCCGAAACCCCTAGAGCGACCTGAGCGTTGATCCCACATAACTCGTGCATCTCTGTTCACAACCCCAATGTTTAGGAAAAACTACGCAAAAAGTAGCACAAGAATTCTTTCTTCTGTGCTGACTGGATACTTTTCTAAAGCTCTCCAACTTAACCATCTCAAAATGAAGCTGCATGAGAAAATCGGCTAGGAGACGAATAAGTTCACTATCAAATTCTTGTGCTGATTACATTCCATTTCATGATCTACAAAGAAAAAGGACAGTATGTGCCCCGGGCCAATTGCAGACGTGTGTAAAGAATCAGGGATAGAACTGATTATTTTTGTTGAGATACAAAGCATGATTCGCGCAGCTTACGAGCAGCTGGGGTAGATGCAGAATGCGGCGAACAGAGTTGCATCGGTTACCTCCGCACTTAAGTCTCCCACAAATACATTGAAATGCCCTGCTGTCATTCAACATTTGATTACCAATGAGCCAACGTGTGCGCTTAAATGTAAACAGAACGGCTTAGCACATTGCATCGTCACACCACGCAACAAAATCACCTGTTGTATCCTCTCTTTGTCCGCTCGCATATGCCCAATTTACTTTGATAGATTGCCCAAACCTGCAAATCAGCCTCAGAGTATTTGAGAATGCCAGCCAATTTCAAAATCCATAAGAATTCGGATTTCGTCGTTTTATCGTTTTAAAACTATTTGCGACCACTTCAAAGTTTCAATTGTAGAGCGAAAGAATTCTAGAAACTGAAGAACAACACAGGAATATTATTTCGAGTAGGCACACAGTTACGTGGATAACATGACAATACCCTTCACCTTGAGATGAGCAAGACTGAGGGGACATATAGTTCCTTTGGCTACATTCATCAAAACCTTCACACCTCCATCCTGACGAATTTATGAAACGCATAGACCACTACTTCATCGAGTCAAATTTAGAGACAATTCAACCACGAAGTCAATGTAGCATTTTTCCAGAAAAGAAACTAAATCAGAAATTGCGCGAGTACTTATGAAGCAGAAATCTTGCAGATAGGCCGTACATTTGCCTGCCATTCAGAGTTGATAATGCAGCTACAGCAGATCGGTGGTCGAAATAATCAACGAATCCATACGATGACTGCCATGAAAAAGTGTGTGAATGGGTGGCATTTAAAACCCCAAAACAATCTGGTATATGAAGTCTCAAGCAGTCAACAGGCCTCACAGTATAATGAGCAAGAAATATTTGAACGAAAGGATGCAGATGACTATGCTATAGAAAATAATCGTGTTAATATATACGAGAATGGGTTTTACTTGCTGAGTAGCCGAAGTGATACCTTGTCTTTCCTTATCAGTTTGCAGCCCTCCAGTGGACCTAAACTGGCGAACACCTCAGCTAGAAGACCCTCGGTAACCCTGGAGTGTATGTTGCCTACATACCTGCATGTAATCCTGCTTGGTTAACTGAGAAATATACATCCGAGAACACCTTCGCTTAACTACTATTGCCCCGAATTCAACCAGCTTCCATTGCACGCATCGCAAGAGGGTACAATCAAAAATATCGAGATTGATCGTGATCGAGCAAGAATCAGCCTCTCCAATCAGGTACTCAAAAACTAAATGCTTTGGACTCTGTAATTGGGCTCCATGTCCGCGGAATTCTAAGAAAAACAACCAAACATGACTGTACAGAGTAGGAGAAGTTGATGCAAACCATCAACTGGACTCAGAAAATCAGAAATGTACTTACACGCTACGACAAGAAGTTGCATCGAACCCTGGAGGTAAGTTACCACTTGCCATTGGTTCCATCTGCGAAGAAGACCAGTATTAATTCATGAGTGTGTGTGCTGGCATGGGCGTATGCGGCCAGGATATAGTACAATTTTGCAGCATTGATAAAATTTTTGAAAGCCTCCATTGAACAAAGCTTGGAAGCTCGACTTCATGGAGTGGTTTGATCGAGCAACTTAGATATATTTAGTTGAAGTTACAGGTTACGAAGCTGCAGATCAACATTGCATGAGTTATTGTGAGATTAGTTCTCTTTTTAAAAAAAACTACAGAAGTTAAGCAGTACACGAATGTAGCGTGAGATATGATTTACTGTTGAGAAGGAGACAGTGCTTCGAGGATATTGACAATGCTTCATACTTGAGCGAACCGAAACTTCTGGCACTACACAATTACCACAAAGTTCTAGGGTTAGGATAGTTGAATTCCCTGAAGCACTCAGCGGGTAAGCTTGAATGATTAACTACCTGCTGCTCAAGCATAGGCTGCAGCACTAGACTTGTAAAAGTTTTGCTAGTATTCCAGTTGTTCGTTGTGTTAGTGTTTACGTTTCTGCGATGTGACGATGGAATTCCCTGCCTTAAGTTGACCTCAGAACATGACAGAACTTAGAGCAAAGGTAAATACATTGAAAAGAGTGAGAGTTTAACAATTATGATAGGCAACAGTGAACATTGGCCTCCTTACCATTACATTCGAACCACAAAATGACTAGCTTGCGAGAAACCTACTTCGCAAGCTTCCCATTCTGCAATGGCTGACGTTACAAGCCGTGGTACTCTGCACAGTGGAAGAACTACAGCGGCATCAGTATTATCATCCTGCATAATGCACAAGTCCCCGAAATCGACAGAATGTTTAACGTAAACACTCCATAAATCCTCTCAGGCATGAAAGGATTTCACGGATGATGAGTATGAAATTATGAAACTGGCAAGGAACGATCAACGCAACACAGATGAAGCGGAAAATTCATTGCTGATCAAAGATTGACAAGAGGAAACATGCATGCATGCTGATGCAGAGAAGCTTGAGAAGAACTCGGAAGTTTGATGCGAACAATAACAACAATATGTTTCAGGTCATGCGGGATCTCTCAAACTGAAGTCTCGACAAGTTCTTGTAAAAAACTGTTTTCAAGATCACAGGCTTTGGAATAGAAGTCTGGGCGAGGATGAGGAGTGCGTTGATCATGTGGAAAGCTCGTGGGGCCGAGGAAGGGAGCGAGGGAGTTGGTTACCTTTCAAAGACGAGACAACAGCTCCGGCAACAAACTCCAGATTAGTTCGAAATTGAATCAAAGGTGGGGCCATGTAAGGATTGGTTGAGTTGAGTGGATGAATGAACGCCGCTTCCTCGATGTTTACAACTGATTCATACGTGCTTCTCTCGTGGAATATCTCGCAGGTAGTTACTCAGCGGTGGAGGACAGTAGAAATAGATTTATTCCGATGTGTATATTGTTTCCATTGAGGAACTACATTCAACATTGTAACTATCATTGTATGATAGCTGAAGGGTTGATGGTGGGTACACTTTACTTTGTATCGATTCCATCTCAACTTTTAGAGTAATTTATGTCAAGAAGGAGAGCACCAGAAATTAATAATTTCTCTCGTTTGGATTAAGTATCGCCTCTTGTTAGATGACAAATTTCACAGAATTATGTAAAATCGAAGATGATTGAGTTCCATCCATTCAGAATAGTGAATGTGACAATGGTGTTGGTACCTTTCTGGATTATATTATTTAAGTGCTGAAGGAAAACTATCCAAAATTATATTGAACTTGATGATACGTGGAATTTTCATCTGTGAAGTGTCTGATTGTGATCCGAATGCCACTGGAGATCTCTCTCATAGAGACCACTCCGTTCAGAGTTAGAAATTCCTACCCATCAACCAGACAGTTGCCATGTTTGCCATATTTTATCCAGTCATGTCCACAACAGGATAAGAAGCATATTTTACACAGTTTGAAACTGAGCAAGTGAAAGGACCAAGTGGTCACTACAGGAGTGAACCACATTATTCAAAGGTTGGATTAATACACTAAATATCGTTACATACCTTAAAGTTAAAAATGAAAACATGTGCGCTCTGTGTAAGCAGAGGTGGACTTATAAGCAGCTCCGCGAATGCAACCATAATGCTCGAAGGTTGGGTTAAATTTCCAGTGACATTTGAAAATGAAGCTACTGATATATTTAATATTGAATACTTTGCAATACCAAGGTTCTTCCGAGCAGGTGACTGGCCACAGTTCCATACAATCCCATGATTTGAGCGGCACACATCTTGGCTTACAGCAGTAATTGGATGCATGCAGAGTCTCATCATGACCTCCCCAAAAATCAGACCGAAGTGCATATCATACCTGACCACTTCAGCAAGCTAACAGTCCCATGACAAACAATGCTAAAATCTACATGTCACTTGAAAACTATGACAGCAACTTAATGACGTAGCATGGTCATCACTGATCCTGTGCTCTGCAAGCCCCAAAAGCAATCCCTTTAGGATTGACCAGGCAGACGCTTCCAGAAGTTTTAGCATTAGTAGAATGGCTGTTGATGACCTAGTCCCCCCGAAACCAAACCTGCTCCTGGCTGAAAACTATCATAAACTCGGCTACCAGGAGCTCCCAAATGAGGACCTTGACCAAGACCAACTCCCAGGCTTTGATGATGGGGTAATGGTAAAAGCGCACGCCCAGCACCTTGCGGTGTCATACTAAGTTGGCGTTGATATGCTAAGAGGTCAGCAGCACTGTAACCAAGATTTACTCCAGACATAAGACCAGCCTGATACGGGTTTACTGGGAGGGGAGGAGGAAGTGGTGCTGATGACGATCCTGGCACGGTAGGCTTGCTGCCCCAGGAACACTAGAATACCAACAAGACGCACCAATGTCATAATATGCTAAGCGAGGATAATAAAATCGAACATAATAGATTCTTTTACATGACAAATTAAGTCTAAAGAGGTGCCCCTACTCTCAATATGAGAGATCAAGGGAGATGCTATGAGCGAACAAGGATTAACCATCAGAAAACTAAAGAAACGTCTAATTAAAATCAGAACACGCATCAAACACACCAACGTAGATAAAACTAGCGGAATTCATTTTACCTTAACAGACTTGCCGCAAAGTACTCTACCGTTGGCTGCTTGAATCGCTAAGGCAGCTTCCTCATGCGTTCGGTATCTCACAAAACCAAATCCCTTATCTTTTTGTACACGTACATCTTCTATCACACCAGCTCCCATGCAGTGGAACCATCGGTGTAATTCACCTTGATTCACCTATAAACAATAGTTTGCGAGAAATGACCATAGGATAGTAATAGGGATCCATGGATGAAATCAATGAAATCGACATGTTAATGAATCACAACTACCAAAGATTTGATTTACATTCAACTCGCCTGGAATCCTTCATACAATCTATAAATAAATTCTGCTCTACTTGATCAGTATCTGTTCTAACAAATAAAAATAAGTATATGAGGTAAGCATGGACGTTCAAAATCTCATACCTCATGGGCCAAATTACCGACATACACGGTGGTGTACTGTGGATTATTTTCTGGTCCATCCCCAGCAGAACCTTCTGGACGATCTTCTGATTTAGAATCTGGAAGGAGGCAATCAAACAATATAGTAATGAGTCTCTTTCATTGATCGGAAGAGGGTGCTAAATCCATTTGTTTCAGTGACCCAGCAATAACTCTCCTAATCAAGAATATTCATATCCTTGATTATGCTAAATGAAAAGGGAAGAGAGACAACAAGAGACAACAAAACACTGTTGAGGGAAAATGAGAACTACCTTGCCCAAGCGATTGCAGTCCAGAAAGTGAATCACCAGAACCATTCATTCCTACTGCATGACCACCATTGTTTGTTTCGTCTGCTGAAGCAGAACTGTTCGTCTTTGTAGCCCAATTGCACCGGATTGACCGGGTTCCAAGCCATTTTCCTGCAAATATCACCAAGAATCAAAAAATAGGCCTGAATTTTTTACTACTTAAAAAATAGAATAAAGGAACTGGGAGAAAAAAGATTGAAGCCTACCAAAAAGATCATCTACATTACAGTCTGTCAAATGAATCCAGAAATACACGCCAAACTTGGGCACAGTGATGGCCAAAGACCTTGTTGGATAAACTCAAACAAGGATGAATTTATCTTACCAGTCATCTCACTGATCGCGTTCTCTGCTTCCTGCAAAAACAAGAAAAGTTGGAATAGATCAACACAATGACGTTATGTGAGTGTACAACTCATCACACAAAGAACGGGAGGGCCTAAATCATAGACAGACATTAAGTATCATCTACAACAGCTGAGCATTTACAATTTTATCAAGAACACAGAAATATTAAAAATAAGCAGTGTGACTTAAAAATTCATACGTCAAAAATGGGGGCCATTCTGCAGCGTCAAGCTCTAAACTACTACACAAATAAAAAGACCATTTTCCACTGGATACTGCCTGAATCCACTTGAAGACGATCTATAAGCAAAAGTGCCTGAACCTACCTGCTGACTTCTGAAAGAAACAAAGCCGAAACCTCTAGAACGACCTGAGCGTTGATCCCACATAACTCGTGCATCTCTGTTCACCAACCAATTATTCAAAAAAGAAAAAGCAGTGCGCGCACACTGAAAAATTGTAAAATATTAATACAAAAACGTTCAATCGCCACACTAGCTCTCGGAAACCTACTTAGGCAGCAGAAACCCTGATCAGAAAGGGATGTTTCTGGTTAACGTTGCTTATTTAATTTGTACAACTCATTAGCAGGGACTACAAGAAATTCAGAGAAGCCTAGGTGTTGGGCACAACAGAGGTTAAGCTTTGTTGCCACATCTAAGTCTCAGACTAAGTATCTTGCAAACTACATAAGCAACAAGCTTAATAAACATTTGAATTCAATGAAAGTTGATGAATAGGACCAGAGATCCATCATGAACAATCATATATATACAAATCTCAACTGTATCCTTTTCACAGGTGATTTGACTACACTATTACGACGACATATACAAATGAAAAAATAAGGATAAAGCCATATTTCGCAAAACATGAGAATGCCATATATCATATCCTCATTATAGATATTCAAATGGTTAAGCAGCAACTTTTCCTATAGAAGATTATTGCATGAATAGAAAGGATGAGTATGAAAGTACTGCTATTCAATTACAAAAATAGGCAATAATCGTCGCAGCAACTTACGAGCAGCTTGGATAGACACAGAATGCAGCAAACAAAGTTGCATCGGTCACCTCCGGACTGAGATCTCCCACAAACACATTGTAATGCCCTGGTACAAGCAACATAGAAAATAAATAATAGCTAAAGTCCATACTAAACATCATGCAATTCCTAATCAGCAGCCATACCAGAAGCGCCAAATATAGTCTAGAAAATAAAAATAAAACACCTGTAGTATCCTCTCTCTGCCCGCTTGCATATGCCCAATTAACTTTGATAGGCTGTCCAAATCTACACAGCATCATCACCACGCAGATCAGAAAAAGAAATTACTATCTATTTGGTCCTTGCATTCGTAAGGAAAATTAGGAAAGCACAAAAAGTGAAGACGAAAATGAAAATGAAAACCAGATAAAATAGAAGTGAGGTGAGGAAGAATACTATGTGCAGAATGCCACTTAAAGACGTGATTTTTTTTGTATGAAATTGAAATTGAGAAAAAATCAGTTTAACAAATATTCACAAACGATAATTCACTACATAGATAAGATCATAAATGAGCGAAGAAAAGAAACAGCCAGTTAACATTAGATCAAAACACATATGGAACAGAAAGGGCAATACTTGAGGCACTTCATTCGCAGCGGATAAAGTTGCATGAACTTCATCTCTAAATTTACGAATGTGTAAAAGGAAAAGGTACATGGAACGTACATTAGTCTGCCATTTAGAGTAGTTAATGCTACTGCAGCATAAATATGGTCCAAGTAGTCAACAAATCCATATGATGACTGCAAGAAAAAAAACACGAAATGAACTATCAAACCCCAATGCGACTCGAAAGAATTGAAAACTTCCTTAAAGTATAATGTCAAGAAACATTCAGTTAAATAATGTGTTTTAAAAGAACCACAGTGAAAAGAAACGTATAAGAGTGGGGAAATGAACCTAATACATCAACAGATTATGGCTTCAAACTGAGTTTTCTCGATTAACCACTCACAAGGTTTGTGTACTTGAAATACAAGAAATGACGAGTAGCCACAAACTAGCTAATGTGACAAGATTGGGTTTACTGAATCTGGATCATAAAACATGAACAAAGTACATCTGCAACCTGTTGATATGTAATGAGTAAAAGACAAGTACAGGAGAAAGCGAGCGTTGTACACCACAGTTACCTTCTCTTTCCTGATAAGTTTGCAACCCTCCAACGGCCCAATGTTAGAAAAAACTTCGGCAAGAAGCGCCTCTGTAACTTTCGTGTGTATGTTGCCTACGTAACTGCATAAAGGAACAACACAAAATCATAAATAACCAAATGCATACAGAAATCCATGGTTAGTACTTAAAAATTAGATACGCTATGAACACTGCTTCAATAGTAAAATCCTTCTCGACATACTAGCTTCCCCAACTTTTACTGCCAAAAGAAAGTTTTGAGGATGATTTTATTTTTAAAAAAATTAAAATTAAAATTAAACCTCAAAAAAAATAGCCAGACACCCAAGTAAAAGAAATGTACTGAGATAGTCCAACCAGACAAGTAGCTTCACAATCGCTCTGAAAGAATCAAAGAAAAGACTCACACGATTTGCTGAAAAAAGGTAGAACAATGAGAGCTTAAAAAAATTACAAAATACAGAAAGAAAACAAAAAAAACTGACTGGGGTAGGACTACTGAAATAAGAAAAAGCAGCAATGAACTTACACACTACGACAAGAAGTTGCATCAAACCCAGGGGGCAGATTCCCACTCGGCAATGGTTCCATCTGCAAAAAAATAAAACGGCGAGAAAATGGTAGACTATACCACGTGAACAGGAGTACAAAAAGCTACCCTTCCTGATGTTTTACTGTTTACATGTACAAAAACTCGGCATCAAGAGCTTTGTAGGAAGGCTTCTAAAAAACTATTGGAATCCTGAGGATTCCAGGATTGACAGCCCTGGGAACCGCGGTGAAAAACTAGCAAGTATTGAGATATTTCAACACCCACCAACAAACGTCACCAAGACAAAAGCTTTGAAAGCTTTTGATAATGAGAAACTAACATAACTGCACTACCCCAGTCATCAAAAGTAATTTCTCATTATCAAGATAGAACACGAGAACCCGAACCACAGAGTTCTCAAAACTAATCAGTACATAATCCTCCTACTGCTAAGAATTCTCACCACGAAAATTTTCCCACTAACCACCGAACAAATGTCAATTTCACACCCTCAGAGTAGCTCTTTGTAAGTTTCAATTAAAGGGCAAACAAATGAAGACTAAAGAGACCAATCATATTAAGGCCAAAATGGGTGTTCGTTTAGACAATACTATGGTCTTTTTTAAAAGGCGCAAACATTTGCAATGAACAACCACCTCCGAAAGCTTAACGATTCGAAGCTCACAGTCTCAAAAATAAATGAAGATAAAAAATGAAAATATCTCGGAAAAAGCATAGTTGGAGTACCTGGGGTATTGTGGCAAGCAAGCCAGGGTGATAAAGCGCTTGCTGCTGTGGTTGATGCTGATTCTGCTGCAGCATAACTTGCACGAGACTTTGATGTTTTAGCCGCTGCTGAAATAGCTGTTGCTCGGTCTGCTGCATTGTATGCGCTTTGGCAAACACACGCTCGGCGTTTCTGACCTAATTAGTGCACAACATATCACGGCTCTGAACAGATGCAAGAAGAAACGACACAACCCCAACGAAGACTGTTCTCTCCAAGCCGTACAAGCCGAAAACCTACAACAGTTTTGCACCTGCGTAGCACAGCCGAGTGTACCGAAACACACCCATCCTCAATCAATAAAGATAGGACGATCTTGAACTCCGAGCCAACCCAGTACTCTCAAATCCAGACAATATTCTCCCAGAAAATAGGCTAGCGGAAAAATCCAAATTACAAATAAGCTCACTAACAACACTCGCTGCGGGCAAGCTAAACAATACACACCACCGAAATCCACAACAGCGTGCCACTAAAATAACAAAATCCGTGGACGCGTACCACAGATCGTGGCCCGAAAACATGAACTCCCTCACACAACCCAAATGAGACAAATCGACTCTAAAGCCAGTCTTTAGCCTAACCATTTGAAATTTATGCAGGCAGAGAATCAGCCACTGACCTCGGTGATCGGGGTGGCAGCGGTCGGACTAGACGAGGAAGTGGGTGCAGTTGCAATCGCTGCAAAGGGGGAAATGGAGGACAAAGCAGAGACCGAAGTTAGTTATGCCAGGGTTTCTAGAACAAGAGCCTCCAAGAGGGAAGAGCAAAATGACAATGGGAAACGAGGAAGTGGCTTGCCTTCACATGGTGCGTCTATAGGCAAATGTAAATTAAAAAATAGAAAAATGACAAATAATATATAATACCCACCTCCAGATACGGTAGTTTGTGTCTGCATTACCTACGATTAACGGACTACGCAAAAATCCTTCCGCCATTCTGTTCGGCTTCCAAGTCTACATCGCAACATTGTACGGTGTTCTACCACCCAGTAAAGTGTGGTGGGTTGTTTTTTCACTTTCTCTTTCGCCCCTTATTACCCTCGGAATCAATTTTTTCGGCAACCTCTTTCTCACATAATTTGAATGCTTTCAGACCAAAGAAATTAGTTCTTTATTAATTAGCTTATGCTCTTCTTCTACTTCTTCTTTTGCTTGATCTATTGATTGAGATTTCGATTTCAGTAAATGGGATTGCAGTTTGGATGTGAGCCAGAAGGGGTGCATTGGGTCAAAGAGTAAATGGATGTGAACAGTACCGGAATATCACGAAGTATTGTTGTTTCGTATAATTATTTTTTTTTGTTTTGTCAATTATTTTTAGAATACGATATTGTCGATATCGGAAGCGATTGCATCCGGCGAGTATGAGTGTCATTGCACGGAGCTTTCAAATGATCTAGGTGATGGCTGAATTTGTCCATGAGTTGTTTTTAAGCAGAAGGCGAAGGCTGCGCTGTGTTTTGTAAACCCTAGACCTTTGTTTTTGTGCCCCAAGCGTGGATGATTCACTAGTAATTGAAAAGAGAGAGAATTGGAGAAGAAGTAGCTGCGAGGCCCATTGCGAATCGAATGCTGGCGTAGTGGTGTCACTGTTGTGGAAGAGGCACAACGCAGCCAGGCGGAGCAGGTGGCAATTGTCGTTAGTTCGGCTTCTGTGTTTATCAATGATAGAAACGGAAGTGGAGTGGGAGGTGACAATCAACCGGATTTGATGTCTTGTGAAGATCCAATTGCTGTAGCTGCAGCAGAGATGGGAGAAGTGGGTGGAGTGGGACGAGAAGAATCTCTGATAGATGAAGAGATCGTCGCCAACTCGATGGAAGCTGAATCCGCTCCTGCTGCAGAAGTTGCGAAAGAAAATGCGATGATTCGAACGGAGGAGGAAAGAATATTAGACTTGACTAGCTTCCAACTGCAAGATTTGACAGACGTGGATTTGCCTCTCTATATCGAGGAATTGGATTTAACAACTAATCGCCTCACCTCCATTGACCCTAGAATTGCCAATCTGTCGCACCTTCAGGTTTTGCGCCCCTAATTTCTTATCTTCTATTATTTTTACTTACATTTGGTGTCTCAATATCACAAAAGCACTCGTGTCTTTGTGCAATTTGTTACAAAAGTAGCAGATAATGTAATCAACGACAGTGTAAGTGATTTTTAAATTTACTTACGCAATATCAGCATCGGCTTCGGGTTTTAGATTGTCAACTTTTCTGACTCATTTGTAGAACGGTGGTTTTCCAAGTTTCTTGTCCTCTCCTGCCTCTAAAGTATGTCATGGTGTTTCTGTATTGCGTGCTATGTGAAGAAATTGAGTTTTGAACAGAATTTGCTCGCCGATGATGCAGTGAGTGTGTTGAGTCCGTGTACAGCGCTAAGTGATTTGAAGGTGCGTTCCTTGTGCTCTTGTTCTAAATTTTCTTGCGTTGTGCTCTTAAACAGTCCTCGCAATGATTCACAGTAATTCACAGCTTATGTTTACATAAAGTTGTGCTCTTGTTTCGAGTGAACGCAATTAATGCTTAATGTTGTCCCGTCAGATTCCCTGGGTGATGGATCTGCTATGCGTGGCATTTTGCAGGAACTGGTGCTGCGCGACAATAAACTGCTCAAAATACCAGAATTGAGCAATCTTGTGAATCTAACATTGCTGGATGTCTCCTACAACAAAGTGTCGTCTATGAACGGCATGTCTGCCATTTCTTCGTCATTAACTGAGCTTTATTTATCGAAAAATGAAATTGGGAAAATTGAAGAGATCGAGCATTTAACGAGACTGCGGGTTCTTGAGCTTGGCTCCAACAGGATTAGAGTATGCTCCTGTTGGAACTTCATAGCTTTATGACAGAAATTAGTAGATGCATGAGGTAGAAGATGGTTTGAAGTGACAATTACAATGTCGCACCACGCTATTTTCTTGTGTTATTGAGGGTTCTGATCTGATCCAACGCTTTTCGATTTTTTAATTTGTTCTGTAATGATTTTGACACCATCACAATACCGAAATTGAAAAGAAAGAAGCATGTAGGCATCACTCCAAGTGATTTATCGGATGTTTTGTCATTGAATCGAAGATTTAAGATGAGGCTGTTGTCTGCCTTGTCATGTCTAAAGCTTGTCGATCCCCTTGTTTTGCAGGTTATGGAGGGCCTTGATCAGCTGAAAGAGCTGCAACAGTTGTGGCTGGGGCGCAATCGCATTCAGAGTGTAAACTTGTGCGGCTTAACTGGTCTGCTTAAGATTAGTGTTCAGAGCAACCGGCTGTCTTCAATGGCGGTATTCCAGGTCTTTTTTTAACGATGCTCTTGTTTTGAATTTTCAGGCGGTTGTTTGACTGTGAATGCCTTAATCCGAAGTTATGTATTACTCAGTTGCAATTCTGAATTCTGTCATATTAAACAATATTCTGTCTAAGTTATAACGTTTCAGGGTAGGTCTTACTTTGTAGCTATCTTTTTATTTCTTTTATTGCTGAACCTGCATGAAGACATTTTGCTTTTCTTTCTTTTTTGTGAATTCTTTCGTGGTTAATTTTTTCGTATCTGCGGTACTTCACAACTAAAATTGAACTAATCCCATTACATTATGATCCTGAAACTTATCGTCATTGTAAGAAATTAGTGCAATGATGCGACAGGCTGGGAAGAGCAGGGTTTGCTCATTTATGGTTCCGTTCTGCGCGGCCACAAATCAATTTGCTAGCATCTGCCAACATAATCGTTTGAAATTTGCTCGTTGCAGGAATGTGTGAACTTGACAGAGCTTTATTTGAGCCATAACCAAATATCTGTAATGGAAGGGCTCTCAACACTTCAAAATCTTCGTGTGCTGGATTTAGCATCAAACAAAATAACAGACATTAGCAACCTTGAAAAGCTCACCAGGTATCTGAGATATTCTGATGTAATGTTGAATTATAGCGTGTAGTGGCCGTCAGTTTGTGCACTCACGTGCAATTTATTATTTTTCTTCCCTCGCCTGAGTTAGTGTTGCTTGCAGAAGGGGTATGTTGAAACAAACGTTGGGAATTGTTGATACTGTGACGTTTTCAAATACTTCCTTCGCTACTGCAATTTGCGCAGCTTTGCATTAGGGGTCTCTAGAAACATGATCATATCAAACTCATGCACTTCGTGTGGGCAAGCAGGTTGGAAGATCTGTGGCTTAATGACAACAGTGTTGCTACATTGGATGACATTGAGATGAAGTTGGAAGGGTGTAAGAACTCTCTTACCACTATCTACCTAGAGCGAAACCCCTGTGTACGCACTTCGAACCCTTACTTATTTAGTGGAAGCTGTCGTGATTGTAATGACTAGTGTCTTAGTTTAGCTACATTCAGGTCCAAAATTACAGCCTTTGGAGAGTTTCCACATTTCTTTCAGTTGTTTACATGTTTTTTCTGTTCTTTTCAAATTTCAGGCCCATGATCCCAATTACATTCGCACAATGAGAGCCATCCTTCCCAAGCTGCAGCAGTTGGACTCCCACCTACTTCTACATTAGAGGCTTTAAAACGAAGCACCACTTGTCTTTTTGATTCAAGTGAGGTTTTAGATCAGGATATTACACCCCATCAGATTTAGATATGATATTGCGTTGGTCGGTTCTGAGATTTATCGTCCTGAAGATCGACTTGCTGCCGTTCTACAAATGCTTTTGAGGCATCAACATGTAATCAGCTCCATTATTTTTTTCCACCTAATTTCTGTCCCTTACTGCTTGAACCGTAAAAGACACCGACACACACGCCTACTTGTTTAAGTAAACAAGAATAATGAAACCTACATTTTTTCAGAAAGATTATACATGATTTCCGGAAAACTCTTTGCCAGGTGCCATACACACCTTAGATAAGCTGTATGAAACCAGTTACATAGGAAACTGGGCTCAAAAGTTCCTGTAGATGAAGGATACATCACTCGAAAACCTAACATGAAATTAATGGAGCACCAAGCGCTCATTGAGCTGCACAACCTTGAATATTTATTCACTCAAATTTTACACCTGAGGAGAAAATGGACTTCACTCCGAGCTCCTGTATGCGTTAGTAACACAGAAATGACCTGGGGCAGGGAGAGCAGTTAACTCAGCTGCTGCTGTGGGCGTTTAAGAGCTGCCTCTGAACTGGACTCTGCTTCCCCATTAGCATCCTCCTCGTCTTCAACTACAATCTCAGGCCCCTTAGCCAGCAATTTAGCCTTTTTATATTCATTGTCGTAATGCTTACGTCTGAGTTCCTCGAAGCTGCCCGAATGACCTCCATCTGAGCCTGCGATCAAAAATTTACATCCAGTACAAACCTAAATCATCATACGACCTAATCTCATACAAATAACCAAAAACAAGTGGTCACAGGTCTAGAGAGGCCGTAATGTGGGTTGGGAACCAAACCTAATCATCGAAAGTAATTCACACATTATTTCGTAATAAAATTTGTAAATATTTGTACTACATGTGAGTCGACGACAAAGTACCTTCATCAGCCTCCATACAATCCAGCTCATCTTCACTGGAATTCCAACTCTTGACACTTGATCGGCTACTGCTAGCTCTATCCTTCGTTGTAGCTTCAAAGAGCGCATGTCTTACTGCCTCGGCATGTGAAGCTGAATCCATTTGCATCCTGTCGTCGTCAGGAGTGGGAGACAATCCTCCTGCACGACCCACTCGAGCCTAAACAATTGAGCTTACTCGGAAAATCATCATGGACAAATTAGACTGACTATGTCAAGTTCATTACGAGTGGCAATAAAGTCACTGATAAGCACAGCCTAAGTATCAGTTGAAACTTCAGGCCTCTCAATAGACTATTCATGGATGATTTGTTCTAATTGATTTGTGATTGGGACACACCACCTGCCATGTAACTACCGTTCTTCACCCCACGCCACTATACCATCGATGTCGTGGTTTTCTTGTTCTGAAGATGAGGAATACTAACAATACACTCCATAATTTCTTCTAGAGTAAATATACATGAAACAATTGGAAAAAGACCATAGCTAAGAGATGGAAGCATACCATCACCCACGTCTGGCGCATAGTAGGGGGTTTTGGGCTCCGTTATCTTCTGCTTAGGAGATTTGGTGGCCTCCAATTGATGGAGATTTTCCTCATCCCAGACAACCCGCACTCTACAAGAGGAGCAAGAAGGGGATGGCATCCGTTGTCACTCGCCTGCAGACGTGTCCACCTCGGCTGAAGGAACTAATTACACAACACCTTCATTCCAGACCTATATACCTCTAAATCCTAAAGAAATGCTCAGAGTAGAGAATCTAAGATGGGCATAGGCACAAAATTAGGGTAGAAAGGCCAAATCGTTAAAAAAACATATATATATATATATATATATATATATATATAACAAACGAGGGAATTATCACCTTAAAAGAACAGAGTGCCATACAATCTAAACCCTAACGCAAACCCCACTTTAACTACTCTACTTAATCATGCATCGTCTGTTGTATGGATGCACCACAAGAGAACATGAGATGCAGACCCTACAAATGTATCAACTTTCTCTCAAAAAAATGTGGTGTCGCGAACAGATATCGAACCCAAACGCGCGCACTCCTGCCAGCGACCTTCTTCCTTTCCCAACCTTCCACTACATCTCCAACCAAAGAAATCCGAAATATTCAATCTATGAAGTGCAGAAGAAATCAAGAACTTCGGATGTTGATAATACCTGGATGGTGGATGCTGCTTATTACCTCGTTTCATTCCTTCCTGTATGATGGCACCAGTACAGAAGACAAAGAAGATGCCAAAGAAGCCAGAGAAAGGATGTTCCCCAGCTAGCGACGCAATACACACTAAAAAGGCTGGCTCCACACCGAGAAAAGCCGCCCATTACCGCGCTCCCAGTGCCCGCGCTGTGCAGCCATCTCGGTACATCCACAATTACTATGATCCTCCCATCACGAGGAACAACCCAATACACAATTCACTCTTCAACCCACTGGAAACGAATTCACCCACAGAAGCTGCTAAGCAAACCGCGACGATACCCTGGAACCTACCGTAATCCACAGTCGAGGTTCTTCACTCGTTCACGTGGGTTCATGTAGCCACAATGGCTTTCTTTAACTAACAATCCGTGGTTTCAGTATCACATGCCATGAATTCAGTTGGGTTCGGCACTGGGCTAGCTGCTGCATGGTTCCGGTGGCCAAAACCCTGGCCGGAAGGATGAGGATCTCCGTAGCAATCAATCCAGGTAAGTTTTGTTCTAAGGGTAATCCCCGTGTTGTCACTATTTTTGATCAGTCTGTATCAAATGAAGCACGCCTTATAACAAGCTTGCATTAAAACATGTGCTGAGACCATCTTGTAAGCTCTGTGCAAGATCGTTTGCGTTAATTGTGTGGCTTCACTCCCTTCGCTTTGTGGGTGCTGGAAGTGAACCAGATTAGTCCGAGATGCACAACTCGGGCATGGAGCACATAAATCAACACATTGTGGGTGCTTAGATTAGGTCTTGCTTTGGAATCTCTGGGTTGCATTTCTACTAACTGTGTCGAGAGAGGAGATGAATCTCTGCATGAGAAGATGAGAAGTATGTGAGGCACTTGTTAATAAGGCGGGGCTGATGAAGGCTTGTGAATTGTGTGGTAGCACAATAACGTGGAGCTGGGGTCACAGAACACAGCCTGCAAAATTAGAGCAAGTGAGACCACAAACTCATTTGCTTCACTCAAACTTGATGTTATGTCATGAGAAACCAATGCAATCATAATGTGCTAGAACTGCTCCACAGCAACAACTGAACTCTATGGAGAGGTGGGAGTTACATTGCAGTGAATCTTGCATTTATGTTAAAGATTTTTTCACAATTGTGTGCATTATTTGCACACTGCAATTTTTCAAAAGATGGACGAGAAAGTTGCAGTTTTTTTCTTTTCTTGATGGAGTTGGACAATTTCACAATGTTATTGGCAGCCGACGAAGCTCCATGACCAAGCGTGCATGGATCTATTTTTTACCTTTCTTTTTCTTTTTCTTTTTTTCCATTGTTCTTTTCAAGTCATCATTTTTCATGGCTAGGAGGTGTCAAATTGGTCGCTTAAAAAAGACAATGATGACATCGAGGTTTGAATCCACAATCTCCCAACCACTATACTAAAATCATTTCCGATTAATTTTGAAATCAACGTTCAGTACTATTATTTTTCTCGCTCTCATTATTTAATAATTGATAATCTCTAGTAAATCTTTGAAATTTTGGTTGTGTTAGATGTTTTCAAAATGTATTTGTAGAAAGTAGAATAAATTGCATATATAACTTATTTAACATATCTTTATTATCACATTTGTATACTATATCAAAAGCAAATTTTGTGTAAAAATTTGATGCTTTCTGAATAACAAAAACATTTACTATGCATATTACTATTAAAAATAGAAACAGCATAAAATACATTTTAAAGCTTTTATTTTATAAGTCAAAATAATTAATCTTTAAATTATATATTTATATATATATATATATATATATTCTTACATACATATTAAAGGAATATTCTTAATAAAAGACATTCTAATTTTTTATAAAATCAAAATTTAAAATAAATTATACATCTATAATTGTGTACAAATATTTATTAAGTTCTATTCTAAGTTATATGTTAAAAATCAATTCTAATTGTAATAATAATTTTTAGATAAATACAAATAAATCTTATCAAAAGTTCTATTGGACATATGTGTGATTTTAGAATTGAGATTTAAGCCTCTAATTTCTATAGTGTCATGTTGTAAACTTAGGTACAACTTGTCATTTTTTGTTAATTTATGGTTATGTTGGATTCTAATAAATGTTTGGGTAAGCCACATATATGTAACTCATTTTACTTTCAATCAAATACATATATAATTAATATATCTATAATATTATATAGTAATAATCAAAACTAAAATAATTATCATTTATTCAGAGGCACTTGTAAAATTGCCTGCTATTATTTAGAAAAATATTTTTTAAAAATTTCTATTTAAAAAAATTATACTATTTAAAACAAGTTTATAAAATGAAGCAAATATTTAGAAATAAATTAAATTAATTTAAAAAACACAGATATTATGTTTTATAAGATATCAACTACACATCTCATAATTTATTTTATTATAATAACTATTTCTTATAAAATATTTTTAAAAGGACATTTTAGTATCTCAAGTTTTAAATTATAATATATAATATGTCTTTGTAATAATGTAAAAATGATATAATATCTCTTTGTATCTTCATTGCAAAGGATATCTTCTCTAAATGGACATCTATAGATACTTATCTATAACAATGTACATGCATTAATTTTGTCAATTGTTTGCAAAATTTATTGTTCTTCAATTTCTAATTTATCAAATGTATTCACCAATCTTTAGCTCCCACGAAAAAATACAGTCCTACAATCAAACATAGAATATAGTATAATAAAAATCATTATTGTTTGCATTTAATTTATTATTTTATGCATTTCCAGCATTATCATTTTGCACAGCAATCAACTCCCAGCAAGTATCTTTCTGGAGCTTCAAAAAAATCTAAAAAGCTTGTAATAAATATATTCATCAAATAATTGATGACTTTATTCAAAGGTTGTTCTGAGTGTAGTATGAAAAATAAATAAATAAATTAATAAAACAATAAACCATGGCATATTTTCAAAAGTACCTCAATCTTCTCTAAAATAATCACTTCACCAGATAGACCTTTTTCTCCTTAAAATTTAAAAGTTTTTTATTTTATTTTATTTTATTTTATTTAGTAAAAGAAATGTGTAGTCAAATTATCATATTTGCGTATGTACATACACACATGTACACTCAAAACACAAGTTAATGAATTCAAGAATATTTCATGTAAACTTCAATCAATAATACATATGTTCAAACATATAATAAAACATATAATACATATGTTCAATTTATTTATTTATTTAATGTAAATCCAACACAGTAATGTGGTCGATAAATTAAAATTAAAATTTTCCAGTTATTTTTTGAATTGAATATATATATATATATATATATATATTTCTATGTCGTCATCTATAAATTTTTTCAATTATTAAACTTTTGATCCTTTGCAAAATCCTTCTTTCACCAGAAGAAAGAAGATAAAGAAATATGTTTGGAATTTTTTAAAAGTTATATTCACTTTTTTTAATACTTCTTTCACAATCATGCATATATACATATGTTTTCATGTAGTAAAATGTATTCCATTCCTTTTTGACATTAAAACTTGTCCACATACATCATTCCCACATTTCCACCATCTTCCATATGTATAATTGTCCAATGCCAAAAACAGTATGAATGCATTTTGTTAACACTATAAAAATACTCAATTCACTGAATGCATTTTGTTAACACTGTAAAAATACTCAATTGAAACACTATGGCTTTTGTAATTATTTTTATTTTTATTTTTATTTTTTTCTGTTAGAGCACATCATAACCTTGTTTCTCCACCATTTTTTTTTTCTCATAAATATTGGTCATCGAGGTATGATAAGGATACCAGTAAGTTTCGGGTATCAAGAAGGGTATGAGAGGATCCGGGTATTACGAAGGGTATGGGGGTCGGGTATCGGGACGAACTTGGAGGAAGGCTGAAGAAGAGCTCACTGCGCAGCAGATCTCGCTGCACTAAGTCTTCGACGACGCTTTGTTCTTTTGATCAGCAGCACCACTGCACGGTGCCAGATCCCAAGTCCAGTCTCTCTCCCTCCGGCTCTTGTTGTCAGCCGAGGAGTGGAAACCCTGGGCGCATCTTGCCTGTATCGTCCTACTCCTCGTTGATCCCTTTGCAGCACGTCTTTCCTTCGTGGCAAACGCTTTTTTTCCTGCTTAAATCCTTTGTTGGATACCTTGAGCAATTCAATCTTTAATTCCGTTTCTATCGCTAATTGGCTTGGGATCCGGTTTTCTGGAGGATCGTGGAAGGCTCACGTGTCCGTGATGTGGAGCATTGAGGGGGAAATTGAGGGTTGCAAGGTTAGGTAGTTTTAGACACAGCGCGCGCGTCTGTGTTCGTACGCACGCATCTGCTATTTGTAGGTATGGTTTGCAGTATGGCTATTCACTTCAAGTTTAGAAGTGCTGTTGAATATGATTCCATCGACATTGATGGTCCTTTCATCTCAATTGGTTCTTTGAAGGAGAAGATAGTTGAACACAAGAATTTAGGCATGGCAACGGATTTCGACCTGCTCATCACCAACGCTCAAACAGCTGAAGGTAATCTTCTCAACTTATTCAAGAGGTAGCGTAGAGGTTGGTTTTCAATAGAACCAGCCGAAGAGGTTGTACGGTCCAAATTTGTAGTTTCAAGCTTAGTAGGTTTATTTTATGGTATCCACTTAGCGGTGATTCTGCAGCAGATGGCACTTGAAGCTTTTCTGATGGACTCAGTAGTTCAAGGCAGTATCTTGTGTCTTTTCTGCTACTCAGTAGTGATTTCAGACGTTCGTTAGATGCCATTTTTGGTGGCTTTCTTGTGCCATGAATTTATTCAAGGCAATCCTATTAAGTGGGACGGGTGCAAATCCCTATATGTAGAAATTATAGGGAGAAGTAGTTTTTTTTCTTGCGAGATTGCGAAAGTATTGAATTCAGATATGGCGCATTGCTATATCGATTTGTATTTTTGAGTGTTCTTCGATTGAAGATTATTGAAATTGGCCTCAATGAGCAGTTGTAATCCTTGTAAAACTTCTACGATAGTCCAATGTGTCCGGCCTGATGTGCAATACCATCGAGTCTCCGACTCTAATTTTCTCAGGATAGGTGATTCTGTAAGTCATAGTTCTGTCTATTGAAGAACTCTTGTGGTTTTCATGGGAGCTTGCACTTCCCACGCGATCATTTTTTCTCACAATCATGAGTGTGGTCTTTTTTTCATCGTCTCTGCTCTTCCTTTTTTGAGAACAAGAATGCGTTTCTATGCGTATCTATTTTGGAGATGATGGACTGGAGGTGAGCCTTTGGAGTGGAGCGAATGTGGACATACATTTGTGGTTGTAGCAAATGATTACCTATTTTGGTTTGTACATCTTCAGTATACGAAGACTTTTTAGCATCTCAAATTTGTAGAGGGAATTTTACAATGGATTTGCGAAGGGATAATTTTAGAGCCAGTGTCGTCTGATTGGGCAAAATCTCCAAGATTACCTCTGCTCATGGCGCAACTTGGATGCAGAAGTAGTTTTAGTAAGTTACAGTGCAATGCTGTCATCATGTTCCTGGCTTTAACACTTACAATATGATGCTGTGTTAATGTTTCAGAGTATTCGGAAGATTCATTTCTTTTGCCTAAAAACACCAGTGTTATCATCAAAAGAGTTCCTGCATCTCGCTTGAAACCAGTTGTTCGAGTTCAAGAGCAGTACGGCCTTTCTGTCTGATTTAGTAGGAGACTTGTAGCTTGCTTTACATGATTCGGCTTGTCTTGATATTCCCGTGTGTTGGTGCTGAAATAAGACCTCCTTTGGTTGTGTGTTCTGTAATTAGATTCAGATACAATATTCTTGTTGTTGTGAAATTCACAGGCCGAATAGTTATAGTTTGACGGCAGACTCGGTGGCTGGTGACAATAGCAGAGGAGCTGACACTACATTACAAGCTGCAGCTCTTTCCGTATGTTGTAATTTTTTGTTTTGCATTTCTCTGCCGCTCACGATAGACGTCTCTCCTTCAAATGCTGTAATATTCTTATTCCGTATCTTTCTCAGCAGATCACATCCGTCGTCATTGCTGTTGGGAATATTCTGGCAACTGGGCATATTTTTCTTGCAGCAATTATTCCTTGTCATAGTGAGGAAGTCGACCTTTGAGATTGAATTTTACCAACACGGTAATAGTGGTGCAGAATGCTGGAATGGATAGTTTGGATGATTTTGGTGTGGACTTGTATGCTATACCTGAGCCTGTTGTCAGTAAGGTGGATCCGGATGAAAACATCCGTATTGCTGCCATGGTTAACACGACAGCCTCGGACTGGCAACGGTAATTAGTTTTTTGTATTATCGTTTTGAAAATTGACTCATGTTCTTGTTTTGTTTCGTTTTGTTTGTTTGTTTGTTTGTTTGTTTGTTTGTTTTTGTTTTTTTTTGTCGTCGCAGTCGTTGTGGTCGTGGTCATGGCTGTCCTGATACTTCGGGGTGGATTTTAGTGTATGGAAACGTTGAGACTTTTCATTTTACAATATTCATGATGTTTCATTAGGCAAACAAAGGAGGGTCTTGGTGGAGGCAGAGGTTCTGGGCGTGGGGGCTATGGAAGAGGAGGTACAGCAAGAAGCACTGCAGGATTAAATTTGCTGCGTCTATTCTGTCATTATTTGTGGAGACTTCACACGATATGCCATACACTTAGTCTTAAAGTACTTGATGGTTGTATGTTCTGGTGAGATGTCCTTTTCTGAGTTTTCATTGCAGAAGTTATTTTATGGCCAAAAGATTATGGCTATATTTGCTAAGATTTTTCCGCTTGCATTATCTGGTGCAGGTCGCACTTTCGGAAGGGCAACGCCTCCACAGGGTTATGTGTGTCATCGATGTGGTCAACCAGGTATGTAATCTTTGCTGAAAATGGCAACTGTTTGTTATTGCTGATACGCTTTGTGGCTTATAATTGGGACCCAGGTCTAAAGTACTGGTTTGCTGCATTTGTAAAGGAGGCAGAGCAGTACAGCCTGGATTTCTAGGACTATTTGGAAATTTTTTTCCTTTCACACTACACATTTTCTTTCGTGTATAGGTCACTTTATCCAGCATTGTCCAACTAATGGAGATCCTACGTTTGACATGAGGAAAATGAAATCACCTGTGGGTATTCCCAAAACTCAGCTGAAAGCTGATCAAGAGGGCTCCTACATACTTCCAGATGGATCTGTTGCTGTTATGCAACCTGACGAGTGAGATTTTAGCTTCACACTGTTTATACAAGCAATGCGTTTTACGGGATGTAACATGTCACTCTATGGTTGTGCGCATTTGAGTTGTGTGTATGAATAGACTAATATCTGACTTGTCCTGGTTGTGAACATTTCACAGATCAGTTTTTGCCAAAGAAGCAGATGCGCTGTTGGCCATTAGGCCAACCTATTTAGAGCCACCCCCAGAGTTAAAATGTCCTTTATGTGGCAACATTTTCAGGGATGCAGTTATGATACCTTGTTGTCAGTATAGTTTCTGCGATAAATGTAAGTTCTCTATGTTATCGTTTTGAATTCTTCTGCAGCTTTAAGTATTTTTATACTTGAGGGCTCTCAAAAACACTCTCACAAAACAAGGCTACGAGAGGTGGTTCCTATGATATGATCTGAGCGTGTATCTCATGATGACTGCAGGCATTAGGGATCAGCTGATAGCTAAAGGAAAGTGCCCTCAATGCGAGTCTACGAAATTCAAGAATGATGACTTGCTTCCAAACATCAATCTCAGGCAGGCTATTGATCGCTTTCTCGAGACACAAATGACTACTAGTGGGGCATCTGATAGTTTTTACAAACAGTATCAATTGCCTGGTAAGCTTAAGTTGACACTTGAAGTTGTATTTTGTCTCGTCTTCTGTAGCTTTCTATTGTTAGCCAATTCATTATTAAATATTTTACAGTTCGTTGAATCGTTCGATGCGTAGATTGTACTGGCTGCTTGAGAGCGAAAATTTTTGGTACTTCTTGTATTCACTGTATGCAGGATTCTAGTTCTATTTAAACATGTTGTTTTTTTTGGTGAGGGATGGTTCTTGCTCTGGCTGTCTACTGAGTGCCTGGTCTGTTGTGATGGGGAATGGCTAGATGTGGGCTCTGGTCCTCGGAAGGTTGATGCACTTGCTGGATCACGCCTACAAATTGAGCTACGAAAGCCTTTGAACTCCGCGGGTGCACCTGTGAAGGCATCTCCTACAAATGTTGTAGTTGTGGAGGATGTAGGAGATTCTTCAAAGGACAAAAAAGGTAAAAATGAAAAAGTTGAAGGCTCTGCTGTTTTGACGCTCGGAGGGGAGGACAGCGGAGGTGCCATTGAAGGGCCCCCCTCTAAGGAGCATGCAGCAGAAACTTCAAAAAAACAGGAAGCTGGGACCTCTCTTAAAGGAGGAGTGAAGGGTTTTGTAAATGACGATGGAGAAGCAGGCATGATATTTAAGAATATCGTGTCTCTCTCTGTTAAGGAGACGGATGGGGTAGCAGTGAAGTCTGAGGTTAGCAAAGGTGTGTTTTCACTGAGGAATAACACACGTTTTTCTCCAAGTTTGGAAGTTAGCTACAGGGAATTTTTCAATCAAGGCGGACTTTCTGGGTCGTGTTCAGTATGGTACATTTATTTTGCACATATTGGACAAATTTGTGCAGAAAGATCTCTCTCCTCTGTCCTGTTTTTACTTAGGATTCATCTTGTGCTATGCAACTTCTCATTAGCATTCATTTCTTTTTGTGAAAGTAGGCATATTTCAAACTTTGCTTATGCACGGCACACTACTTTCTTCACATAATACCGCATCGCTATATCGGCATTAAGCATGCGAAGTTTACATGTTCCCAACTGTGCATTTAGTTTTCGCAACTGGTATGTGAAAATTCTATCATGTTAGTGGGCTCATCACTCGGCATTCTGTACAAGATCAACCAGGTGGACCAAATGATTCAGGTCTCGTAGTTTCCTTCTCGTGAGCGTTTTGGTACACCCTGACTGTTCTTTGGCTGATTTATCTCAGGGAAAAAGAAGAAGAAACGCGCCCGTCCTGTCCAAGCAGGTAGGTTTGGTGTCAATTGTAACTTGCTGTGTATACGTTGCCTCACAGAAGAAAGTTCTGTTGGAAACGCTTATTAGAATTAGCCCATGATGGCATTTAAAGTGTGATAAAAGTGGCCTCTACATTTCTATAGATGTCTTTGTGCAATATATGACTAAATCTTTAACTTATACAGTATATTACTCTAGAGCAGGTGAGTAATATGTGGTAATGAGATGCAGCGAATTGTTGTGGAAGACGTTCATTATTACTGTCATTCTGTAGTATATGAGAATTTTGGGTTAACTGTCTGTAGGCCTTCTTCGTAGTTCATCGAGTAATCAATATGGTATTCATGTGCAAGTGTTGAACGTTGTTGAACAGTACTTACCCTCTTAATTAGATGAAGTTATTCGTTATGCCTTTTGTTTGTTTGTTCTACCGTTTAGCAGGCTTTTTTATATGTAACACAATCCAGCAGCATGTCTCTTGCATGTTGTCGATTGCTAGAAGATTAGATTTGTTAATCATTTAGTCGTTACTGACTGTCTAACTTTTAGAGCTAATTTGAAATTTGTGTTTAAGAGGTTTGCGAGTGGAGGGTGAATTACTTGGCAGCTGCTTTTGGCTTTTCTTGAATTTTGTCGGGTGTGCTATGTTTTTTCCAGGATATAATATTTGCTCTCAAAAAGAAGATCAGTTATTATGACCTCCCGCATTTGGCCTGTGTCCAATTCTTTCTTAGATTTGTCCATGTTTGGTTACTCTGAACATCATCACGATCTTCTTTCGCTTTTGTGATCTTAATATCTTCCTAGCTATGTCGTTACATCTGTATCAGAAAGGCGACGGTTGAGTTTCTAGTACCTAGTTGCTTGTCTTTGTCATTGATGCTGATAAACTAGTGCACTGTAGCAGATGGAGCTGCAGACAATGTTGGTGGAGGCAAAACCAGAAAGGTATTTTGGTAATTACTTTGCACATCCAAGTACCTGCAAGTAGCTTTTTTTGGATCTTAAATTCAGAAAAATCAATCTTGAATCTAATTACTTAATTTTTAGTCTCTAAAAAAACTTAAAAGAATTAAAACAAACTACAAAATTAATTGGTTATTTATTCAAATAAAGAAGGGTTTATAAACCTCTAGCTCATGAACTTTCTAATATAGTTTTTTTTGCAAAAAATTCTTATTACAAACTTATTAATAAGTTTTTGGATGTGCAAAGTAATTACCAAAAAGAAAAAAGAAAAAATCATCATCAAGCAAATAAACAAAGATGTTTGAATAATATGATTAAAAAAATATTAATATCTCAAAGTATAAATGTTGATGGATCAACAAAATGTGTCATTCTTTCAAATTTCTTATTGTAGTCAATCATTCACAATGTTTAGTTTGATATCTTGCATAAAAAATAATTGCAATTTAACTTGTGATTTACTTGAATTAGCCATGTAAATAAATATATACATTGATAAACACTTTCAAAATTCTAATCTACAATATGTGAAAAAACCATAAAAATTTAAGTACAAGAGGACTTCAATTCATAAGCTCAATATGTGCTTTGAATATTTTAAAAAGTCAAGGAAGGTTTTTATTAGATTAACTACAAAGTGAAGATATAGATTGTTGGCTCTTAATCCAAACTCCAATTCAGCTCCTATTTACTTGACAAAGAAGAAATAGATACAAAATTTACAAAAATGGTGGCATTTCTTGATTGTATACTCAACCCTTCCCAATAACTTTATCTTAAAATCTTCTTGATGAATATTTTTGTGCTATTTTTTGTAATGCAATGCAAAGCGCAATAAATTTTTTGTCTCTTTGAATTCCTAGCTATTACCAAAACTATCAGCATGGTCTTGAAATAACAAACTTCATATCTAAATATATAAAGAAAAAATATTTGTACTATTACCTATAATATGTACAATGTCAGTAGTAATAATATATTAATAATATGTATAATAATATGTACAATGTCTATATTATAATAATATATATAATATCTATAGTATCATCTATAATATGCAATAATAATATGATTGCATCACTTAATAATTGCATATTTAATTAACTCAATTTAATATCTCATAGAAAATACTTCCATAAATCAAAAAAATTATTGTTTCAATTGCTTCTATCATAATGCAATGACACTGAATCATGCAACTGAAATTGGAAAAAAAAATTGGAATGCATTTTTCATCACAACGTTGATCACATTAAGAAATATTGAATATATTAGACTTTACAAAAATTACACTCAAAGTAATAAGTGAGTATAAATAAATGATTGTAATAAATGAATTAGACATTAATGTACCTACAAAGATATTGCTTCACAGTTGAAAAGTTCAAAGAGGTTGAATTAAGATGGATTTGACTATGTATGCTTAATATAAAATTACATACTTTATAATATCTTAAAGATGCTCAAATTTTAAAATTGTCAAATCCTCTCAAATCACTTGTTACATATGCTTTAAAACATCTTCAAAACTACTCTTTTAAATAAAAAAAAATTAAAAGCTTAGTATTTTGAAGATTTTTATTGAAATTATATCTTATAGATTCATATCACAATAGCATCACAGTTTATCATAACTTTGGTAAAACACTGCAAAAGTCTAGATCAGCACATACGAATGAATATTGAAAATAAAAGAAATATGTTAATTGACAAAACTTTTGAATTTTGAAATTATCAATTCCTCTCAAATCACTTACTTTATAAAAAGACCTACTATTATATTTGTAAACTTCATCCACAATCATATTTGGACAATTTTTTATTCAAATCTATCTAACTGTAAAGAAGAAGAAGAAGTATAGCTCTTTTAATTATGAAGGTTGTTAATCCTTGTGCTACTTTTAAAATTGATGTAATAGATATAAATACCAACAATCAAGTTTTTTTTACAAAAAACTTGCAATGGGAGAGCTTCATCATCTTTCTTTTGATTTATGGAGGTGTATCTCGGCCTTGACTCATTTACATTGATCATGCCAAAAAACTTGCTGAGTCTTTTCTAATATATTTGCCTTTTAACGCTTCTTAGAAGAGATCTTTGACCACAAAGGATTTGATGTGAAAATTATTGATATGTAATATCCACATAGTTTTCTTATATAAATATGAATATAATTTTTAAATCTAAATATTCAATAGCATTTACTAATATGAAACTTTCATATGAAGCTTTAATCTTGAGATATTGAAGATAATAATGAAATTTTGAATAAAAAAGAATCTCATATAAAATACCATGATCTAGCCCAAATGAGAGACATTGTGTATTATATGTACTTCAATTGATAAACCATATTACATATGGGCATGCAAAAGAACATGATACAAAACTAATAAACTATACAAAGTCCATTTGCCAAATTCTTATTAACCTATAGTGTCGTCAAAGCTCCAAAAAAAAAAAAGATTTGGTGTATCTTGTAAAATTCTTCTTTTGGACTATATTCAATTACTTCTCTATTATAAAATACACCATCAAATTTTTTTCTTATCTTACCTCTAATGAGTTGAATATCTTTTTTTTGCAAAATAAATCCTTCAAGTACATGTGATATAGCTCATGTTTTTTTTTGAGATTGGCTTGATTTTAATTCATTTTGATCTTTTTTTGAAGCAATTTTGTATATTAACTGTTTACTTTTTGATAAGCTATCACCACTACTCTTACTATCATCTTTAATCTAAAATACAAGAGTATTTGATGTTGTATCTTTCTTTGATCTTTTTCTACCTTTCTTTAGAATAAATATCACAAACATATATATATATATATATATATATATATATATATATATATTTATTGTAATATTTATCTATATGATTAAATAGAAGTAGATAAAAATAAATTTATTTCATAATATTTTTTAAAAAAGCTTCTTAAAAGCTTCATAGATGCTGCTTTGACTTTGTATGTGTTTGTAATTTATTGATAGGTTAGAAACTTGGTCAAAAAATTAATCATGTATTGATAGCTTATGGAACAAGTTAATTATGTTGAGTATATATAAAAAACTAATCTTGTAAGTTAAGATATATATCTTATAAAGTCAATATATTTTGGAGGACTTATAGGATATTATTATGTAGCTCCTAATTAAGAATATATATAGAAGCAAGAATAAAGCTTTCTTCACTCTTATCAATGCCTTTTTAATTGTTAGTCTTATTTTAAGATTTTTTAATCTTCTTTTCTTTGGCAATAGCCATTCTAATTTAATATTACATCATCTTTGAATGATTTTTTAGTCTTTTTAAGTAATACAAGAGTGTATTGATATTTTAGTTCTTTGAGATTCATATCTTTAAAAATTTGACAAGATTGCTAACTCATTATTTTTGTCTTTTTTAGAAGTGAATAAATTATCCTACTTCTATTATTATATTTTAAAGGTTGTAGATTATTCATCTTTAAATAAAATATTTGGTTTTTTAACTTTGATTTATTTCTTAAAAGTCTATATCAAGAAATTATATAATTGAAAGAAGAAAGTAGGTTGAACTCAAAACCAAATTTAAGAAGAATTATTTTTATAAATATGATGGAGACAAGGATTAGTATGCTTAAATTTTTTAATAGAATAAGATCAAAATTTTGAATATTTTTGTAATAAGTCAAGCTCTATCTGAGCTTGCATTCTTTCCAATACTTTAATGAATGTACTCAAGGTTGATTCATAGGTACACTTTTATTTATAAGTACTTTCTTTTGATTTGCATCTTTGATGGAAAAGGATTCATAACTCTTTTATGATTTGAATTTATTCCTAGAA